TCCTTCTGTTCAGCTTTAAGCTGTAAATGGCAAAGCCAGGACTTTATGCTACGCAGATAATCCCAGAGGGTTTATTTTGACTTTTTTTGTTCTCTTTCACATTTCATTTTTATGTTCACATAAAGGAAGTTTGAAATACGGAAGGCAATGAAAGCAAGAAGATTCTCGATTGAATTCTGTGTGCCCTCTGTTTAACAGAAATAGGAAGCAAAGCTGTGCTCCATGCAAGAAATAAATCTAACTGCCAGGACCTCAACAGCTGTTCTATTTCTACTTAAACCTTAGGCCAGTGATGGGAGGAAATATAGGTTTAGGTCAGGATTTTTCTTCTCTATAGATATTCTGAAAGATGAATCCTACACGTATCCTGTAAATTCAGGAATTCATTGCAAATATGTTGAAGATTCTGTTAACAAACATAAGCTTCTTTTACGGAGCTGGAATTAGTCCTTTTTATTAGGCATCTGTTAATGTCAGAATAATAGGACAGAGATGGAATCCCGTGCATTTTTTCAGATGATATTAGCGTTAGGATTATGATTTCCCAAACCTCACAGGGATGCCTTACTGTTAAATACATCTTTGACAGTGTTAGCCATGATGCTGTTTACTGGCAAGATGGTCAAGAATGCAGCATACAATCAACATTTGGAAATACTTGAGACCTCGCAGCCTGAGATCCTCTCAGTGCTGCAGGTGTCTTTGTGCAAAAATGGAAAACCTGCAAATAGAATCAGCTAGCTAGGCAAGATGCTGTGTAATCTGCACTTTGACAAGCACACAGAACAGCAAGACTTTCTGTCTAGAGTCATTTTAAGCGGTAAGGAGATCCTAAACCTGTGTTTTAGAACCTGTTTTTTAGGAACAAAATTAGAGTATGGTTTAGTGAGAAAGGCAGACTTCAAGAGGTTCTATAAAGCATGTGTGTTCCTTCTGTGGAGCTTGGCTATGGGGCTGCTGGAAGCAGGGGTACAGCACCTGGGTACAGGGATTATCCCTGGGACACTTCCCCAAGTCCCTTGCACTGCAACTCCTAAATGGCCAGGTCAGTCCCCTGGTCTTAGAGAGTAGGCAATGTCTTTCTTCCTCCCAAAGTCTGAGTGCTGATGGCAGCAAGGTGGCTTTCATTTCAAATAGAAACCCTATCTGTAGTGTGCAGTAGAAAAAAAAAGTACATGCCTGCAAACTTTTCACCTGCGTGAGCTTTCAAGTGGAGTAACATCTCACACAAGGAGCTTTTGTTGGGTTAAGGGATCTCTGGTCAGTGTTGTGGCTGCTGCTCATCTTCTCATGGCTCACTTCTGTCACTTCCAGACCCCCCTGCACCTGGCAGTAATCACAAAGCAGGCAGAGGTGGTGGAGGACTTGCTGAGGGCTGGAGCAGATGTCAGCCTTCTGGATCGCCACGGTAATTCTGCCCTACATTTAGCTGCTGCTGAAGGAGACGACAGGATTTTGAGTCTACTCCTCAAGCATAAGAAGATACCTTCGATGGTCGACCTTTTCAATGGTGAAGGTAGGGAAGGATGACAGCTGTGTTTTACACTCACCTACTAGACGAGCACACCACCATTTCTGAGAACAGTGCTTGAAAATCGTACCTTCCCCCTTTGTGCACACAACATAGATGTTGAGAGAACAGTAGATGTGTAGGTTTTCTGGTTATATGGCACGTAATGATTGGTAACGTCCGTATTACACAGTATGGATTTGAACTTTTTGTTACTGTAGATATTTTAATCTCACAGAATTTCAAGCACTGTGTTCCTTCTGGCTTGCCATATATAAGCACTGCTTAAACATCCTCTTCCCACCCCCACCCTCCACCCCCCCCCTCAAAAAAAAAGAAGTGGTTCCTCCTTGCTAGTGAATGAAATCCCTTCAAAAATCATTGCTGGACTAGTGTCAAGTTTCACATTTGGCACTTTTTGACTATGCAGAATTAGAGCTTATAAAATACCCACAGAGACCCAAGTCTCCCACTTTTCAATGGTACAGGTCATCTGAAATTAGTACTCTTGCACTAGATGGTAAAATGTCTGACTTAGAGTGTCATTATGTGATTTAAAAACCTGTGTTAAGTTCCTCAGAAGGATTATGCATTTATTTTTACTTTAAAAAATATATTTATATAAATATATATATATGGCTTTATTATTCTTTTTGAGCCACCACAGTTGATTTTGAGGTTATAGGGCTGTCTGACCTTACAGAAGCATCAGTTATTTGGCAGAATGTTTCTAGAAGGGATTTCATCTCCTTTAAGGCAAAAAGATGGTCTAGGTGAGCTCTTTAGTTCCCCTCTTTCTGTTCCACCTTCCAATTTGCTTTTTTTTGTGTGTATGGCATTGAGTCACCACCAGCAACACAACCAGTTCCAGTTTATGCACAAAGAACATTTTTATTAACGCCATCTTTAGTACATAGACAAGCAAAGTAAGTCACTTGTGCTCAGGTAACTACAGTAACTCGTGGTCATTTTACAGACTCTTAAGGTATGCAACCACTTAAAATCTGATAATTCTGACACATCTGTACTTTTCAAATATTAATGCACACGATGAATGGGCTTTGTGTTGTGCAGGTCTCTGTGCAATCCACATGGTGGTGATGGCAAACAGCATGTCCTGCCTCAAACAACTGATCGCTGCTGGAGTTAATGTCAACGCTCAGGAACAAAAATCTGGACGGACTGCATTGCATTTAGCTGTTGAACTAGAAAACATCCCCTTGGCGGGCTACCTGTTGCTTGAGGTGAGTGCAGAATTCTCTCAGGTCTTTTCACTTACGTATTTTAAGTCTCAAAAATACACCAGTGCTTCAGTGGAACGGAAGTAATGCTTTTTTCTGTTTATTGCCTTGTGTGCCTAAACTGGGACAATGGCAAAATTATTGCTAATGTTACTATTACTTGTTGAGCACTGCCGGTGAACCTTTTGCATAAGGTGAGGAATGCAGTTTGTGACCCTGACCTGACTGCATGTGCCATGTTTAATTTGCACTGCGTAACCCCAGCAGCCCACAAACCCACTTGGGAACAAGTGACTCACTTAGCTTTGCCAGGTGGAATGTGTATGCAGATGTGCACAGAGAGATAGCTGTGTGTATCCATAAATATTTGTCTCAGCTCTTTAACACCTTGATCTTAGTGTGCTTAATTGTGCACACCCACCGTGGTAGCTGCCCTGGGTATCTGCACAGATGTGCTGCTACCAGCCTGTCTGATCTCCTGAAGGGCAGCAGGAAGGCAGAGTTCAGTGCACTCCAAATGCTGCGGGTAATCAGATAATAAATAGTTTTATTATCTAATTATTATTACGGGATGCAAAGTGGCTTTTGAATTTTATCTACCTGACTTGTTTGGGTCGATACACTGTGCCTCCCGCCCTAGTTCTGGAGTTCTAGTTCACCATCTATTCATGTGTGTAGAGTTGTAGTTACTTTCTAATTCATTCTTTTCAGACAATGATTAGAGTTTTTATGCAAACAGACGTGGAATGGTGCTTATTTGCACAGTAGCAATGTTTATGGAGACACGAGTCTCTGCAACTGTATGGTATAAATGAATAGCACTTTTCTTTTTCTCTTGCAACACCAACTTAGACTGATGTAGATGTGAACAGCACTACATATGATGGGACAACACCTCTTCACATAGCAGCTGGAAGGGGCTCTACAAAATTGGCAGCAGTTCTCAAAGCAGCAGGTATGGAATCAGATATTTGCGGGAGCATTTTCTTTAACCGTGGCAGTTCAGGGTAGGAGGCTGCACACGGAAAAGAACAGGTCAGAGCACAAGACAGATGTTAAAGACAGGTTTGCTTCTCCCTGGGAAAGTCCTCCTTTCAGGTGCTCTGCTACTCTTTAGCACCATCTAATGGCTAAAAAAGGCAAATTAGTTAGTCATGGTAAAACACCTCCCATGCACTCTAGAAAGCTTTCAAGCATGTCTTGTGTATTTTTTTTCCTATCTGAAGAAGCAGAGACCTTGTTACACAGTTGGGATAAGGGCTGGACTGCTTTAAAGACAGAGAAAGAGATTGCTGAAACATAAGCTTGTCAGTGTCTCCTATTTCATACCACTGTGGTAGAGTTATTTTGAATATTTATTGGAGTGTTTTTTCAGTTCTCTTTAGACCCTTAATACCTGAGTTTTCTCCTTTGACACAGAAGTCCAAGCCTCCCAGTGCTCTGACATTGTGCTTGGTCTTTTAATAATAATCATACTTTTCTCTGATACTACAAAAAGAAGCACCATAACACTGCTTCAGGATGTACATGGTCCCGTGAGCCAAGAGCAGGACTGAAAGTCAGTTTATATAATCAAAATCCTTCTTTGGGCCTTAACATGCTGCTTGCATTTTTTTGTTCCTATCTATAACAGAGAGTAGCATTTTTACAGGGACGTGACAGTATTTAACTTTAGCTGATTGAAAACATTGTTTGCTGACTTAAACTGTGTTTAGCTTGAGTAGCTAAATTAGCAGATTTGCAATTTGAAACCTAAAATATGTATTTTAAGTATTGAAGCATTTTCTTAGGAGTTTCTTGCACTCTTGTTTTCCAGGTGCAGATCCTCACATAGAGAACTTTGAGCCACTGTTTGATCTAGAGGATATGAAAGATGATGACGATGATGAAGGAATAGTACCTGGGACAACACCACTGGATATGGCAGCCAATTGTGAGGTATGTGATCTTCCCTCTGTTGTTTTGGTTTGCTTTTTTTAAATATTAGATGATGGTTCAGCTCTCCCCCCCAGTTCCTTTAATTTCTTCCACAGTCACAAATGTTTACATACTACTGGAGCACCTGAATTGACATCAAAAATAAACTTAGTGAGCCACAAAAAAAAAAATTATGAAAATAATAAAAATGAAAATAAAAAAATAAAAAATGAAATAATACTGGAATTGTATTGGAAGAAAGCCCCACTTTTGTTGAACAGGATTGTATAAACAATACTCTGACTTGTCAAGATAATGGACAAATAACCAGGTTTTGCTAAATACTGACTTTAATGTATTCTCTTAGGTATACGACATATTAAATGACAAACCTTACAAACCAGCAGCAGCAGTTTCGGAGGACTTACTGACACAAGGTATCATCTGTAAAGATAACTTAACAATATCCCTCTAGTAATTAACAGTTACACTGAAAGCATATTTGCAGAAGAAATAACCCCACCATTCCTTGTGAGCAAGCTGGGGAGGCAGAAGAGGGACACCCTTCCCCACACACACATCCTTAGACTAAGCATAATTCTGTGAAGAGGTAGGTCACAAGGACACAAGGTTACAAGGTTAATTTTCAAGACTACACCAATATATTAGTAAACACCAACGGACACTAAAATAGATGCTCTTTAATTTGGCTTTGTTTCTGCTTAGAAATGAACTGGTGCATGATTTGTATAAATAATAAATAATTTCTCTGTTCCCCAGGACATGTAAGAGAGCTGAATGAAAGCGTCAAGATGCAGCTTTGCAAAGTACTGGAAGTACAGGATCCAAGCAAAAACTGGTTTACTCTCGCACAAAAGCTGGGTCTTGGCATTCTTTGTAACGCCTTCAGGTTGTGCCCTTCCCCCTCAAGAACTCTGCTAGATAACTATGAGGTAATGTGGCTGTTACAGGTATTAAGGAACATACCGCTGTGTGCTGAGCCTCATCCTCCCGCATGGTGCAACAGTGCAGCCCCTGGGTTTTAGCTAGGCTGGGTGGTGCTGAGCATCTGCTGTCGTCTTCTCTCTTAGGTTTCTGGTGGTACAATTGAAGAGCTGAGTGCTGCTTTGAGACAGATGGGTCACACGGAAGCCATTGAAATCATTCAGAACTGCACAATCCATCTCGCAAAGGCAGCCTCACCAGGAGGACAACACAGTAGAAGCTCTTTCATCATCTCCGCCCACCTTTGCAAAGAGAGACACAGGTAAAACTGACAGCAAAACATCAAGAGCTCTAAACCGTATTTTATTCCCCCCTGCCTGGCCATGTTAAGTAATGAAAACATTTGTTTCCTCTTGATGCAAACAAACACAGTAACTCCATCCTCGTCTAACCTTACCCTTTATAGAACATTGTTCAGTCATGGAACGAGCGTTCATACCTTTCAAAACTGTGCTTGTACATATTTGCCTCTTTAGCTTAATTTAACGCCTTAGCCTCTTTAACCCCTTAAAGAGGGGTTCTGCTGCTTTGCAACATGAATGGATTGCATTATGTAATTATTTCTTTTTAAACAGCTGTTTTGAAAAATACTACTGAACTCTGTAATATGGAGACCACTGTTCAAGTCATACCGAGACCTCATCACACCTTCAGCTTGAATATGGCTCTCTTGCAGTCAGACACTCCTTTTGGGGATCTTGCACAAATGACTGTGGCTGCTGATCAGATGCTCTGGTCAACTAAAAACATCTAGCACAGCTTTTCCCATTGCAATATCTAAAGCTACAGTTATTGTCCTATACAAGAGCTTTAACCTAGTGGGTTGTATTCCTGTTTTTTCAGGACACTGCTGAAGCAGAGCAAACCGTAATGCATTTCCCATCTCTCTCTCTCTCTTTCAGGTGAAGTTTATAATAGCAAATTTCAAGACAACGAAAGCACATGCGACAGCGGTGTGGAGACCTCCTTCCGCAAACTGAGCTTTACTTACTCAGACTCTTTGAACAGCAAGTCTTCAATAACACTCAGCAAAATCAACCTCAGCTATGGACATGAAGGCTCAGTGCAAAGCAATTATATAGCTAACTAGCAATACTCAATTAGCAATATGCAGATACAGGAACACACGTGACGTTTAGAATTACACTGGCACCATCCTGGTCAGAGGGAAGTAAATTCACAACCAAAAACACTCTGGAGGAACCACACACGAACCTGAACCAATAGGAACTTCAGCGTGCAACACCTGGCCGTTGCCTCCTTCCTCAAGTGCATTTAATTTTATCCACTTAACAAGCCACGTACCAGAACCAGGGCTCTACTGCCACATCAATGCACAGGACCAGACACTGAACGACTGACGGAGCTCTCCTGGCATGTGAGGATTTTCTTTTATAGATGAAAGTCACTCCTTGTTAATGCGTAATAGCAGCTCACTTAATACAAAGAGGTAAGGCACACAGAGCAATCAAAGGATAGTTTCTAGCTGCTCCCTTCATAATTTTTGCAGCACACTTGTCTGAAAAAAACTCATAGAATGACTGGCTAAGAAAAATCATGACTTCAATTGCAGCAATGACAACTCAGAGAGAAAAGAGAATCCTAAAGCAAAGAATCTTGTATAGTTCAAATAATGTATTTAAACTTAACTTTTGTGCCTCTTATTCAAAAAAAAAATCAAGTTTGGCATTTTCCTACTTGTAAATAGTTTTTTTATATCAGTTCCTTTCAAAAAAAAAAAAAGTGTGCTTTTTAAAAGCTTATTTTTATTTTACTTTTATAATAAAAACCCAAAATGAAATCCCTTGTCTACACTTGCTGTCATTTTTACATCTTTCAAATAGAGTTACTGAAGATTTAGCATTTCAGTTTTAGGAATTGATACAAAAATAAGCTGATTTCACAGTACCTAAAATAAATTAAGGGTAGAAAGCCACTTGCCTTCAAGCTTGAGAATCTTTTACAGGGTGAGACCAGGAGCATCAGCTACTGCTGAGCAGCTGTGCTTTGGAACTAAGTCTTTGGTTCATGTTCTTGGTTAGATCTCTTTGCAGCACAGAGCCATTTATACTGAAACCAACCTTGGAGCATCTCAACGAAACCATAGAGATGGTTCTTCCTTGGGCTATCTAAGAACTCTTCTATGACTGTTTCTGAGCAGTATTTCTTTTTGTTTCATGTAATTGCGGTGAGTGAGGTGGTGAGTAATGCTTACAGATGTTGGCCCTACTAAGCATACAGAACAGGCATCAGATTTCATTATGAGACTGCAAAGCACCGTTAACACCGTACCACTTACTTGTAGTCTGCTGTCTTGACACAGAGGTGGAGCTCTGACAGGGGTGTTCTTGGTTCACAGCAGTCTTCGGTAACCTGGTGTAGTTCCTGAGAAAAGTAATCAAAATAAACCTTGAGAATTTTTACTTTTTTTTTATCAGTATTTGCTATAATGAATTAAGCCACAGTCAGAGAAAAAAAAATCTTGTGAAATAATTTCATATTCAGCTGAATTACGTCCAGAGAAACAGGATGCAGAACAGCAGAAATGCCATGCTTTCTTTCAATTGTCATCTGTATAACCTACAGATGCAGTGTCATAGGTGGGTGGAGTTTTGTTCAAAGAATGTAGTTGTCTGTTGCAACTATTTTTTTTAATGCAGAAACAGTAAAAGATCTCATGTCCTGGGGCTGGAAAAGCTTTTTCAGCCCTATCAGAGTTTCTGCGTCAACGTACCTTCTACTGTCACATCATTTCCAGCACAGCCCAGGGGGGTGGCAGAGACTTCCATCAAGGTTTCTACAATCTTGCAGGTCACCAGGGCAAGCTGTCTGTTGATGAGCACCTTTTGCCGTACTTCTGGCCCTGCTCTGCTTTCAAACCAGCAGAAGACGCTTGGGTCTGTATTTTCTTACATACTTCATGGCCAAATGTGCATAACTGTTACTCGTCAGGTGAGTGATCATGCAACGAACAGCAGGAGAGCTGTCTTGAGGCCCCCTGCATTCACATACTGTAAGTGGCATGCCAGCTTCTTTCCTTGCAGTCCCTTTGAAGCAACTCTAGTTCAGTCTATTTAACAAAACAGGCTTCAGACTTTTTTTTTTGGCTTTAGCAATAGAAAAATATTCATTTAAAATCATTCTCACTAACTCAAACAGGAACACTAAACCTTCTATGTGACAGAGTAAGGTCAGGTAACACACCAGCTTTTCCCATCTCCTTTAACCTGAGGCACTTTACATGTGTGCTGCAGCCATACAGTTTGTCAGGAGTAGGCAAGAGCAGGAGGCAGAACCCACCAGCAAGCCCAGGGCACACAGAGTGTCCCGACACCCAGTAGGAGACACATTTGTGTCTTTTTGTGTCGTTCCAGTCTGGCAGAGGGAACTCAGCAGAGAGCCCGCTGTTTACCTCAAGCAGCTCAGTTAAAATGCTCAAACACGCAGCTTTGTGCTTTCTGCCTTACCTTTTATCCCTGGCGGTAGGTGGTCAGGCTGTACGGGGCACACTGCCTTGTGCTGCTGGGAGTGCCAGAGCACGCTGCTGCCTCCTCGCAGCAGTGAGGAAGAAGCAGGCGCACAGAGGAACCGCGCTCTGCAAGACAAAGTACAAGCAGGGCAGACAAGTCTTAACAGACAGATATAATGCTGCTGTGTTCTTCTTAACGAGTAACTACTACAAGAGACTGATATGCCTCATTAGCTCCCCTCAGACACAGATTTATCCTTACATCTGGAGCATGAAAGAAGTCCTACTCCTGTTTGCCAAGCGTGACAGAATGAACCAAAAAAAACAGGCCTGCAGGAGCTCACTGCCCGAGTGCTTCTGTCTAGAACTGGGTTATACAGAAACCTGCCTCACTCAGCACAGTAAGCTGAAGTGTGGACCTCACTCCACCCCGCAGGCCTAGGTATTGTCCCTATCTACTCCACCGTACCTCTGAGGAACAAGAGGTTCTGGGCTATGGAAAGGCAGCCCGCATCAGCAGCGCTCTCTTCTAACACCACTGTGCAGGAAGCCTGCTGTGCACTTGCATTAGCAAATAAAACACTGGAGATACATCCAAAATGCATCAACCAACAACTTCAACCAGATCCTAAGAAGCCTGCACTGGCAGTTTTGTCCCTCTGAGTGCCAGTCACACCTTGGCAGAGAACTGCAGATACTGATCTGGAAATGCTTGCAATGCTCTAAGGGATCAATACCAAAAAAAGAAAGGTACTTAATTAAGCTTTTTCTCCTGGTCCATAGGGAGATGGAACCTTTGGGCATCCTCAATTAAGGTTTATTATTAACGTATACATAAATTACAGTGAGGATCAGAATCTGAAAGAGTTCTAAACAATCTGCAGTTGTGGTAATTGGGATCTGCTACATTATTTTGCTACTGCACTACAGTAACAGACACCAGAAACTTGTGGAATGGAGCAAAAATAAACTGACAACAGAACTCTACACATCTCTACATTTGGTGTAAAAAGGACTATTCAGAAAGTTCAACTGACCTTAATTTTTTAGAGTCATTGCCGCAGCTGTAAGTTTCCAGTGTCATCTTATGATGTATTTAGACACTTGAAAGCTAAATGTGATAGTGGAAAGTTAGAGGCATTCAGAGATTCTGTAGACTGTGGAGAGGATCTTACTTGCATGTAGCGGTATAGGAAGCATCTTTTCTCCCTTCTCTGGGCCAATGAGGTGCTGTTTATCTGTGTTTAAGGAAAAAGAGCAACCCTCCCTCCCTTGGAGTGACAGGAACAATGATGACTATTCATTAGCTCAAGATGCAATGGTCAACACTCACCCAACAGCTTCCAGCTCTTCTGGAGCACACTCTTGTTGAAGTAGAGCAGTTCTGGAGTGACCAACAAAGGCTGTGTCCACATTTTTGCTGGATTCAGAAGATTCCTGCTGCTACAAGCAAAAACAGCACAAGTTAATCCCAGGAGATGCTTTTCTGTATTTAGGGTTATGAAGTAGTCTGATGCCCCACTTAAGCTGCTCCTGCCCTGACACCAACACGGAACAGCTCCTGGCAGGAGACCCAGCTCTCCAGGAGTTCTTTCACAGGAAACCACCTGGGGGCTGGCTCACACCACTGCTCTTTTACAGCTGTTGGGGAAGTGAGCTGGAGCCTGCTGGGTGCTTAAATCCTGGTACACAGAGAGCTGCAGCTCTCTGAGCATCAGACAGACCATTTCTGCAGGTCCTGAATGGGTTCGGAGCAAAATCAGTGCCAGAGACCAGCTTGGGGACAATGAACTAATCAGCATCATACAGCTATCTACCAAAACCTGTCTACCAAAACCTACCAAAACCTCTGTTGTGGAAGGGTATTTGTTCCTCCTGAAGGGAACTCTGACTGCTGCTTTTGTCATTCTTGAAGAACAACCCAGAGGGAGCCCGGTCGGCAAAAAGCTTCCACCCCTCTGCCCATTAGCAAAAGCCATCAGCACAAGCTGACCCAGCAACCCCTTGAACAAAGAATCATGAGACTGCACTTCCAAAGAACACTGATGAGGCTATTGCCCTCTACTGTTGCCACCAGCACTTTAGGGACACTGAGGACAAGCACCTATGGCACTTACCAGACCCATTTCCCAGTCCTCCTGCGGATGATTCCCACCCTGGCCATACAAGCGCAGCTGAGATTCTCTGAAGATCTCCTCATTGTTGCATTCCTGTCTTTGCCCTGACCTGAGACAAAGGCAGAACAATGTAATTAAGTACGTAATTAATGTATTAAGTCACAGTATGGAACAGCAAAAGTACTAAGGGGAAATGGACAACAAAGGCAGATGGTACAGCCACTGCTGTGCTGGGGAGGAAGGAAATAGCACCTGTAAATACAAACCTGCTGCTACACCGTTAAACCAAAGGAATATATTAAGGATATTAAGACAATAATGGAAGGGAATCTCTCCCATTAATTCTGCTTTCAGACCAGGAATTTGGCTTGAGCAATCACAAATCTTTGATTACAGTGTGAATTCAATTTTTCTAGCGAGAAGGAATGGGCATAAGCTTTAGAGAGCCTCTGACCTTCAAAAATAATAATTAAAAATTTCTCTTAACCTTTTTATGCCAATACAGTAACTGGAAAAAAATATCAAAAAGCATCTTAGGTAAGAACACTCTGCTGCATACCATTGCTGATGGCCACGGGTTGCACGGCCACTTCATTCAGTGCTGAAGAACCACGTCATATTCTTTCATGATTTTACCTGCAGTTCACAGCAGGTTAAACAAGTTCACACCTATCCAAATTCCTGGTTGATGGCTTCTACAGATCTGAAAGATCTCTACTATGACTCTAAAACTTCATTTATATTCCAAGATGCACTCAGAACAAATATCATTGGTCTTAAGATAGTCCTTCCAATATCCTTTGAAGTAATTCTGTCAGTTTTATTTGTTTGACACTATCAAGTGTCATTTTCAAACTCCAGCTAGATTTCCTGGAGACATTTCTACCTCAATGCAAGACAAAGACATTGACCAACCTGTTCTTTTCCTGATAAGCTGCAGCAATATTTATTAATAATATTTATTCCGAATTTTCTGCACAGCAGTTGCTTTCTTCCATCCTTGCCTTATCCAGACTCTGCTGCTGTTCGGATCCCACTTGATCCCAGGACACTGAAACAATCCCGTATTTTTCTTATATTGTTGGCCCAAGATGCCTCTTGGGTAACTCTTAAGTACTGTGTGCATTTTCTTACTGTTCGGTTTTACTCATGGCTATCATTTTCCCTATTTATTTTACATACTCTATAAATACTGGCATATACACATATGCATATTTTGATTACTTTTGTGTCTTCTTTCAACTAGAACAACTCTTTAATCAGATAAGCTCTCCTTAGCAGTTCTGATTACCTACAAAAGCATTTGTAAGAGCTTCCGTTCATCGTTTCCCTTTTATGGCCAAGTTTTTCCTCTTGCTGAGGACTAGGTCAGTTTTGGTTAATGAACCATTCAACAACAGCCGCAGATCACCGAGCATCAGTCAACGTGCTCATCCGTTTGCCATTAAAACTGCAATCACTGCAACAAAGCAGCCCTTCATTTCAGCTTTTCGGACTGACCAGCGAATGGGACGCACACACCCTCCCCACACATGCTCCAGACCCCAGCACCAGCAGCACACGCCACCCACACGGTGCTTTCACTGCGAAGGTGGTGAAAAACTGTCCCCAGCACAATTCAGTCAAACACTTTCTGCTCTGAAGTGCTGATTCTGCTCGGTGCTGTGCAGGAAAATGTGGCTGCGCTGTGGCAGGTGCCCCGTGGAACCCCAGCAAGATCCCAGCTGCGTTTCAAACCTCATCAGACACACAGGACCAATGTTTAGCAACCTGCCTGTGGCACAGCTCCACGGCCTGGGCTTCGTGACGGCCAAATCTCCAGCTTTTGGCTCCGCAGACTGCTGCAGCCCCCTACCCTGAAGCACATTTTCTTTGTATCATACGCCCAAGTGAGACATTTCCACAGGAAACCAAAACATTTTAAAAACAACTTGTTCAAAAACAGAGTACAAGGTGAAGCACCGTTACTCTGCGTGGCCTAAGGAGCATAACGTGCCACCAGATCTCATCATGAGTAAACGCTGTCTTCTACAGGGAACCCACACACTGAGATGTTTCAGATACTCAGGTTTCCCTTTGATGATGTCCATGTCACGTTTCACAGGTAACACACACACAAGAGGTTAAAAAGACACAAACCAAAACATAAAACCTAATTATGACACAATTTGCTTGATAAACGAAACTGAGCCAACCCCTCTGGAAGGAGAGGAGGCCCTGTGCCTCTTGTAGAGAAAAGGGAACCGTTTATAACTCTGTGATCCTCACACATGACCATTTCTTCTCTCCACCACCTCCTTTCTCCTTGCACCTTTGGCCAACTCTTCTCCTCTCCCTTTTCCTACAGCCAGACACGTCTCACACCACATTATCCAGGAAAAAATATGGGGTTTTACAAACAGGGTGTGGAGGTACATATTTGTCCTCCCTCTTACTTATGAGATATCCACAACCCTGTGATCCTTCTCAAGTGAATTGGAGGACTCAAGCCAGCTCTCTTGCATCAATTGACCCCACCCATTTTATGTGGGACACATTTTTCCAGTTACCTGACAAAGCCTCACTTTCAATGCATCATATATATTATAAGCAAGCTTTGTTGTTGGTATCTTTACATTGAACCAGCAGTTAAAATTCACACAGGACAGGAATGGACAATATATTCTCCAGTCAGCTCATCTCATACACCTCACTTCTACTTCAGTCAAATTCTTCTGAGTTTTTCCTCTTCCTGTTTCACTTCTTTCTTTCACACTAGAAAGAAATCCTCAGGCAACGTCCATCAGAGATGTCAAGGTGAGCGACTTTTCTAGCTCTTCAGCACTGGTAGGCTCCCAAGGATAAAACACAACCACTTTCTTCTTTTCGATCATGAGGAAACCGTTGTCACTAAATCTGCCTTTTATACTCCCTACATCCAGAGTCACAAAAGGAGCAACTGCAGTTGTCTGGAGATCAAATACATAAACGTCATCTTTTTGGGATACAGCAGCCTGGAAGAAAGAAAAAATGAAATATGTATAGATTTTTATATACACACACATATTAAGTAAGAACAACCAGTTACTCTCAAAATGGGAAAGGATATTCTGTCAGTAAAAAGACTGTGAAAAAACACAATTTATCAAAATTATTTTTCTCTTCTAATTCTCTTATTAAAATATGTTCTGGAACAACAGGTCAAGCCAACAGGTTTAATATATAAGAATCATGCAAAAACTGCAAACATTGGTTATAGCCTTCCCACAGAATACTAGAGATTGTGAAAAAATGCCATGGACTGTTATCGCTTCACTATTTTCTTTTGAAAATCACCAAATACATGGTAATCTGATTTGTACCTAGTACTTGTATCCTATACTTACTGCAGTGATAGAGGTTTGCCCTTTTACCAACATACTTCACCCATAACCTATAAATTCACGCTCTGAAGTAGTTGGTCTTTGTGATTACATCAGTAACAGAAGCACACAGATGCAAAAGATGATAAAAGTAACAGAGGCAGTCACCTCATCTTAATGAAACAGGGCAGCAAAAGCTTTATGCTGCGTTTAGAAGGCAGCTATGATGTAAAATACCAGGACAAGGCTTAATGCTTTAAGTTCTATGAGTAGTTAATCTCTCTGAGGTTTAAAAGCACGACCAGGATGCATTTTCAAGGAGCAGTCTCCGTTCCCCATCATTAAACATTATGCTACATCATTTTCAAATACTCGGTGACTACATGTGGAAAGCAAACAAGAGCAGAAAACACAACCTGCTTGAAAGAAAAACAATGCTATTAATTTTTCAGAAAAAAACACATGTGCTTTGCATTTTGTGCTTTCTGAAAAAACACTAAAGGAATACTGTGAAAAGTAGCACTTGGATGAGGAATATATTTGAAAGTCTAGTTAGATTGTTAGTAACTATGTATAGAAGTGCCAGCTTCTCACGAAACAGAATTATTTTTTAAATCACAGCTGCATATGCTCTTAAAATAACTACTCTGCATTTATCCTTGCTAGCTACCCTTATTAGTTACTACTGCAGAGACAACACAGCCATGGGAAAAAGGAGAGAGATCTCCCAACGGTGCTCCAGTTGCAGAGCTTTTATTATTGGTGATGTCATCCACAAAAAAAACCCGCATGACTCAGACTCCAGATTGTGCCACCAGCTGAAAAAAAATAAAAAACAAGCTGATTTCTTTCCTTTGTATACGGAGGAGGCAAGCCGTGCTGCCGTGAAAGAGATAAGAGGGGAAAATCTAGCCCATTTTCTTTTTGTAAAGCAATTATGCTGGTCCAGATTTAAAGAGATTAAAGACCTCTATTCCCCCCTTGTTTAGTTTAGCTCTAAAAAGCAAAGCTGCAGTTTGGAAACCTCATGTGAGAAGGCACAGGTCGCCATCCGGCCACTCTGCTGATTAAGAATTTTGCAGTAAGATTTACAAACAAAAAGTGAAGCTTAACCAAATGTGTCTGTACACATACGCAGAGCAGGCTTGCTAGAAATGGAAGAAATCTAGGGAAAAGCAGCAAATGGAGTAAGTGAATGTTACACAACACTCTGATGCTTTTTGTGCCTGTTCAGAGGACTGCCACACTTCACAGATATTATGAAATAATCACTATTATGCAAATCAGAACCCCCTCGCTGGAGGGCAGGGATTTGCAGGAGGAAATGAGCATGCAATATTGCATGTTAGCAATGGCACACTGATCTCAGAGTCTGAGCACTTCAAGAAGAAATACCGTTGACAATACTCCACATACCTAGTACTGACCTATGCTGCTGTTTGCAAACCAAAAGCACTTGTTACAATGCTATTTGCTGCCTAGAGACAAAAAGAATGAAGGGAGCAATGCTGCAGCAGTAAGGTGAAAGAGGGAAAACAAGTGAAAGGGAGACTTCGTTATTTAAAAAAAAACAAACAAAAAAACTTTATACATTAAAGAAGTGTTATTCAGATATGCGTATCATGGCACAGAGGGGAAAAAAACAGCACAATTTAGAACTCCTCTACATGGAATCTAAACTTGCCACAGCTAGAGAGACAGAACATTGAGTGGAAGCAGGCACTGAACACGCAGCAGGCAAGCAACTCAAAATACTGAGACTAGCAGAACCAAATGCTGTAATTGAGCGTGACTGATGCTTACACTTAGTTGCGCCTTTTCCAATCCGACAGCATCCTTCAGGGACGAGAGGAAGTGGTGATTTGTGGGGCTCCGGAGCCCACCTTCTCCCACAAGATAAAAAGTAACAACGCAGCTTTTCCTGGTGCAATTTCTGCATCTTTCCAGCAAGTCGTTTATGGACTCCTTGTAGATGGGGACAGCACTTTGTGCTCTAACAGTCACGCCGTCTTTGGCAAGGGTGCATACCGGCTCCAGAGAACTCCATGAGTGCACGGTGACCTATCGGGCATGTTGAGAGAGCACAAAGCTTAGCAGAAGAGAAATTACATCTGTGAAAACAACCCAGCACACTAGGTTTCCCATCAGTCATAGGAAGAGATGCTCTCCTGACAGTACCAGCCAATTTTCAACTCTAATAGAAAGAAACTTTACAAAGGTTTAAACAATCAATACTGAATAATAATTAGATTGTTATATAAACCTAAGTCTGTTTCAAACAACCTGGATCTGCTACTCTTTCTGATCTGCAAGGCTTTTTGTTTTTCTCCAGGCTCCTTGAGAGGAGGGCATTGACAATTCCTCTCAAGGGTGTGCTGGGAAATGGAATTACTTGGCTCTTTTTCCTCCTCTGCCTGATTAAAAAAGTGAAACAAAGGATTTTCTTGAAATTGCTCTGTGTTATTTGATGTAACCCAGCTGGGTAATCTAGGGCTTCTGCACAATCACTGTTAAACAGAAGTCTGCTGCATCATCTTAAAAGGGACTTTAGAAGTTATATTAAGACAGTAAAATACACATACCCAGAGATCACACATGCATTATGAATACACTCTTGCATTTCAAAATGCGTAATTTGGAAGACAGGCGCTTAATGAGAATGACAGAATTCTCTCTTTAAATATTTTAGGTTGGTTTTGGACCTGAACAGGGTTCTGCAGTCAGAAACATATCTTGACTCCAAAGTTTGACTCAAAAGTTTGAAGTTCAAAATTTCTTGAAGTGCTAAATGCAATATTCACTGGAACTAGCCTACTACCAATGCATTTTCTGATTTTATCTGAAAATTTTAATTTAAGTCTGTGACAATAACTCAGACCAGAAATAAACAACTCCATTAATTGCAATCCTAATCTAAAAACTGACGATCCAGAAATGACAACCATTTTCCATACTGGAGGCTGTCAGTTGCCAAAATCCTCTCCAGAACAGACATATGAGCTGATTAAAAAAAAAAAATAAATATATATATATATATATATATTGAAAACAAACAAAACCTACTAAACTTATAAATCTGAAAATTCATCACAACCTACCAGACAGAGCAGTGAAATAGGAATAGACATACTCAGAATATTAGTTCTGAACCAACTAGTGAGTCACTCCTTATCTCTAGGGCTCTTTTTCTATCCTTAGCTTTTTCACATGGGAAGCTCTTTATGTCAGAACTGTATCTTGCAATACATAATGGCAACTGAATTCACTTGGAGTCTGGTTTGCATATAATTAACAGCAATAAAACTTAGGAAACTGAAAAGAGTAACTGTGTTCTACAAGGCAACTCAGCAGCCCAAATACTATCTCAGAAAACCTACCACTTTCTATAGCAGTGTTGGAAAACACAGTAAAGGAATCAACTGTAAAATGGTGATATTGCACAGGTGACCCTGCAGTTGAAGCACACCTAGATGTTTTCTTGGTATTTCACACATACCAAAAATATATATATATATATATATAGTTATTTTCCCAAAGCAGTGTAGTTTAAGCGCTGTCGAATGAAGGTGTGATCCTTTTTTCCCCTGCTTTAGCTCATCAGCCTAGTTCTAACACCCCAGGAACAGATGAAGTAATGAGGTACCATTTTACAGACCTGGTTTATTTAACCATAAATCCCTACAAGATCGTAACAGAATAGTGAGCTTCAGGCCTACACCTACAGGCACTTAGTTCCTTGTTCTGTGGAACAGTGCTCAGTACTGTAACAACAAAGGGCAGTATTGCCCCTAAGAATATTACAGACATGAATGGCATCCCATTGTGGTTGGGAATGGACTTTCTGAGTTTGTCTATATGAAGATGTGCTCATTTCAGTTTCATTCATTCAGTAGCTGACGTTCTACAAGGAGGGACATAAGGGCAGCTGGAGGGCTGTCCCTTACCTTCAGAGTCAGCTCGTGGTCCGTGTGAAGATCTGAGACACCGTAGATGCACAACACGCCTTTGTCTTCATAGGCCACAGGCAGCAGTGGGGCAAAGAAGTGCTGGGCAAAATAATGAAGCAGCTTCCACTTACCACCGTACTCTGGAAAGGGATAAAACATAGAAAGACTCTGATGAATCCAACATTGTCTTGGCACAGGATCCCTTCCTGTGCTCTCAAGTTCTGCTATAACAATACCACGTCATCACCACACTTTTTCACCTCTACCAGGTGCCGAGAACGACCAAAGTTAATCTTGTTTCCTTCCAGAAAAGGCTCACCTCTGGAAGGAATCTGACGCTCTTCCAAGCTTTTTATGATCTTCACCAAAAAGTCACATTTTTTAAGTTTCCGCCCTATCACCGATATTCTGTCATCCAATTAAAGGAAGACTTCAACACAAGTGACATTAACAGAACTGACACAGCGTACCACATGGCAAACAAGCAGTTAGAGCATCTGGACAAACACAAAGGCACTGGTGGCACTGCCACCAACTCCCACCACTGTAAAGAAACGGATAATAGTCTGATTAATCTCTCCTCCCCTTTCATCAGTTCTCTTCTTTCAGTTCTGCCTTAGAACATCAGGAGCAATGAAGCCTAAGTTCTCAAAACAAGGGCAACTCCTAAGTTAGGCAAAATGAATTTACTGAAGTCTAGAGACAACGCTTACTGTATGGGATTTAGTTAAGCTCATGTTGCAGACACGCCAAACAGTTTGCTCTGCTTATTTAATGGGAAGCTGTACCTCATTACTTTTAATAATTTGATAGTCTGTCGTTAACAAGCTGGAAAAGCATCAAACCTCGTCTGCTCTTCCAAAAAAAAAAAAAAAAGCAATCTTGCCAGATGCAACACTGCCATACAGACATTTTGAAAGAGGAACCATTTCCATTCCTTTCTCTTTTCATTTTGCACCTAGCACCCAATGTCAGCACTTTCACTCTCTGCTTGGCTGCTATCTCATCATTGAAACATCATTAAAAAGAAGCAGCAAGTCAGCTGCATAACCTCACGAGGAAAGAAAACTTAAGATACCAGCTTCAGTTGTGTTTCTGGCTCTTTGTTTTACACAACAGGTTTAGAGTTCAGGGATGCTGGAAGAAGATTTCCAGTAACGCGCTTGTGTTGGAACCAATTACCTTGCTGTTTTGGTGCTCGTACAGCGCTCTCTGCACTTACAAACACCTCGTAATTAAGGACTTCACATCCAGAGTGATGTAGGTCTTTACAGGGTGTGTTTGTGGCTTTCACCAGGCAGACCTGGACATGCTCAGCCTGCGCTCCACGCAGACATGAATGAACTTTATGGAGAACAAAGCGCGTTAGCTCCAGCTCAGCACCCTGCACATCACCTCGTGTTAAGCAAGCTCACTAGCAAACAGCTAGACGGGTGAGCAGACAAGAAAAGCTTGTGTCTGCCTGGACAACCCGTGCAAAATTGAACTGGGCTAAAGATCAGACTGCTGCCAACAAAACAGCGCTGGCATTCCAGCTACCTGTACTGAAGCAAACTGAAGAGATGAAGACTGAAAGAAGACTTCAGGAGAGGCTGCAGAGTTTCTTCAAAACAGTTTGCTAAACTGATGAATATCCCATGTTGGTGCTGTTCAGCACAAGAACAAAGCCATGCTGTTGTGTTCCAAGGACAACTTCTGGTATAAAGCATTGGTGGTCTAAAGGACAACTCCTCCAAACATCAGGGAGCACTAACCAGTTATTTTTCAGGGCCACAGAACCTAAGAAAATGAGAAATTTGGACTGGAGATGGCTTATTTGAAGCACCAAACCGTAAGGCTGTATCTGATCTGAAAACTATGAACAACAGTCTTTGAGAAACGAGCACTGTGCCCAAGCTCAGGCTTTGGGAGAGGCTGAACTTTCTGAAGCCCTCAGGACTGCCACAAGACTGTCAGGAATTTGAGTTGTCAGGGCCATAGATGCTGCTCGCTGCAGGCTTCAGACAGAGCCCACCATGACTGCAGACAGGACACCCAACATGGGCTGAGGTTTCAGGGCCTGCTGACTTCAATTTTTTTCTCAGCTTTATTTACACGATGAAAATCTAGTCTTTACTGTCTTAAATACAAAAATGAACAATGCAATTGAAGTAGAGCAGTTTCTGTTACTTCGAGTAGGTGTGAAGTCCCGTTTATCTTGTAATGGGTCCTACCCTCAGTTTTCCCCTGTGCCTTCATTTCTGACTGGTTTCCATAATCACAACAGCTGCTGGAAGGAAAGACAGCTTTTCTCCCTATGCAGCAAATACAGAGATCCTCAAAGAACTCGCACAGTGGAGGAAACCATTCAGAGTAAACTTGGCAATATATTTTCACAAGGAAAAAACAACCAAACAAAAAGCTCAGTAAACAAGAGCAAAGAAACCACAGGATTAGAAGTTTTTACCATTTCAAAACTCATCCTAGGCTTCAACCACTATAGCTATTGTTCTGGGATGTTTACAACACCACTCGCCTGTTTACCTGAAGCCGGCTTTTTAAGGTTGGCATTTCCCTTCCCCAAAAGCCTACAGCCCCTTTGAAGAACAAAGCTCCACTGCTGGAGCAGTTTCACACCGGAAAGGACTTCCAAAGATAACTTCTCCAGCAGCAGGACCTCGGTAACAGAATTGTCCAAGTAATTTCAGTCAGCGCAGAGGACCGAAAGTTCACTTGTTACAAAAGCCACATCTTTCCGCTCATCTGTTGCCTTCATTTCCTTAAGATCAGTCATATTTCTTGATTTAAAAATTAGGCAATTCGCACATAAAATACTCTCCCCACCCCTAAAATGGAAAGAAATGAGATCAAGTAGTTATCATGAGATATTTCTGGGTTTAAACTTTCCTGTAACAGGCCAGCATACCCAAAAGCAACAGTCCAAAGTTATTTGAAACAGACCTGAGGTGGTTTCCTCCTCCCCTCACATTTAAACAAATTATTGAAGAGATCCACGTTCCCCATTTTCTTCCTGATAATAACATGGGCTCTGTATTCTTTGTAATAACAAACTTCAGAGCAGGAAACTAAAATTAGGTTTGAAAAGAGACCCTGGTACGTTCTTTTCTGGCTGTTCCCCGAAGCCTTTTACACTCATAGCAGGAGTGGGAACAAACTGTTCTTCTCCCTGGCGTGGATTTTAAATTAATCACTTGAAATCATTAAATGCAACCTGAGAAACATGCTGCTAGCTCTTTCCTCACATCAGCCTCATGAATTCAGATCTATTATTCTCCATAATAGCCTGTGGTTTCAGCTCACTGGGGGTTTGAATATTGAACCTGCAATAAAAGCCAGTTATCTCTTCTAGGGAATCTCATGACAAGCAGTGGGGCACCTCGAGGTGACGTTGTGTGGGAGGGTGATAAATTGCCACGTGCGTCGCAGCACTTCCCAAAACACACTACAACAGAGGCTAAAACACAACTGGCTTCACAACCAGCTGCTAACAAACCAAATCCAGTTGTGGTGAAACATGTTTCATTCTGAACCAAAGGCAGAAGTCCTGTGCTGTCTTTTCATTCAATTCCCAGCAAACATTTTAAAGGTAAGTTAGTGAGATGTGTTTCCTATCCTTTTCCCTCCCCGTTTCATGAGGAAGCACTTCCGCTTGGTCCAGGAAATTATGCAAGCCCCTCCATGGGTCCCTGTGAAGTAACAGATTTAAATAAGCAGCGCTTTGGTGATACTACTGTGCCATCTAACAAGATGCAGAACCATGTTTTTGAAGTGCAAATAAAACTAATTTCCCTGAAGTTTTGCATAATTTCAGCCATTAGCATTTCAAAAATCCCTCTACCACAGTGCCTAATTAAATGAATATTAAACCTTTCCTCATTCCACTGAGGGAACAGAAGGAAACAAAGGGACAGCTGCATCTCTGCTCAGCTTCTTTTCTGCAAACTAACTTCAACAACATATGAATAATTCAAATATTTGATGTATTTTCTACAATGACATCAGCACTGTACTTAAGAAGACATATTTATGGTCTTCACAATCACTTCATCTATCAATACACCTGCCTTTACAAAGAGGCATTTTTCCAAGTCACTTTTTCTTCTGAGGCACTGAAAGCCCAAGATTGTCAGTAACTGCTAGAATCATAAAAATAAACATCGGGATATTTGGACTACAAGTACAAGAACAGAAAGTCCAGGAACGTGACCATTATAGCCAGACCACTGTCTTAATGTTTAACTAAAATAGTCTGTTACTTCTACTACATTGTTTTCCTTTGTTGGTGCCCGCTGTTTTGCTTGGATGAATGAAGAAAAAATGAGAGAAGGACAAATGACTCTCAGAGAGCTAAAAAGGAAGACAGGTAGGGTGGGGCAAGCTAAGTTTCTAAAACAAGACCAAATGGCATTTTGTAATAAGGAAAGATCCAGAACTTAACACTAACTCTTAGTGACTTCCAGATAAAGTGTACAAAACACGAAACACAGCCACTTCCTTCATACCACACATTCCTCTCCTATTTCTTATTGCCTAAGCAAGTTCTCTCTTCATATATCTGCTTCCTCCATTTTGGTGTTCTGAAAATAATATATATAAAAAGAATAAAAGGAGATATCACGTGTAGTTTAGCTAAATAGCATATTAACAAAATAATTTAGCTACAAAGAGTGATTCACCTCACCTGACACTAAGTTAGACACCAAATCTCAGCTACTCATCTTGCCTGTAAAGAGTTTCCCAGAAGCTATGCTGGGTGAGAGGTATCATACAAAGTTCTGGTGAAAATCAAATTGTGCACGGAGAAGATAGTTTCAACCCACTTAATATACAGCTAAGGACACCATCAGATCATAAATCCCATCCTGCTTCGAACAGGAAGACAGTTCCATAGGTTTTGGACAACGTGCTACTGCCACTGAAGGGAGTTGTTTTGATTGTTTTACACCTCAGGGAACACAGTGTCACCAAATTTGTTGGGATTATTACGGAAATCATAATTTTATGCATAGCTGCTCCTTCTAATCTTATCTCCCTAGCTGTCTTTCTGTCCATTCTCATTTAGGGTGGCTAGGTGTTCACGTCCACCAGTATAACTAAGCCAACTACTATAATCAGGGATTTCTAGGCACTTCTGGAAATAAAATTTCTTAGAAATTTCCAATTTTAAAAGAATTTTAGCAAAAAATAAATACAAAATTTCTCTGGAAAATGGGGCTGTGCTCTCATGCTTAACCATTGCTGCTTCCTAGTAGACAGCTTTATCCTTCTTCAATCATCTCCTTATTTTCTTTGGAGAAACCAGAATACCACTTAATGACAAACATATTTTCAGGAATTAAGAATTAAATATAATTCTAACTTCTCTACACTAAACCTTTCTAAAACACTGTTTGAGTTGCTGGCTGCAAAATCTGAACTTAAAGAGCAAAACTTCCAAAGGAAAATAATTGCTTTTTTCATTACCCTCTTCCACAGACTATTAGGATGACCCTGTGTAAAACACTTTTCTGGAAAGCATTTCTCAACGATGGCCAGACACACGCTTAAATTGCGCAAAGTGACCCGAGAGAGAGTGCAGAGCCTTGCTTCTTATTCTGACATTTTCAGTTGAGCAAAACAAAGACTGACAGCTGGTGCATTTTATCAGACTGTCGCAAAACTTACCCAAGGAAGCCCACGAAGGTGCTTGCCAGATGTCATTGAGTTGCCAATACAGAGCACCCATTGTGTGACCTTCTCCGTTGATTATTTCGCTTTGACTAGAACGATAGAATTCAGTTTCTGTCTTTGTACACTGAGCCTGCATCACCTTGGTCAAGAAATACATTAAAAAAAACATAGTTATTTTTAGTGTGCTTTGCTTTCAAAGCATATGTGTATATATTGACTTGTAAAACAGGCGTCACAGCAACGGCACACAACTTCAAACACACGCAATACACAGTTCCAGCACACATTCTGTCCTCCCTCCCCACTTCATCTTTAATAAAACATTTGCTGTAATTTTGCATTGGTGAGGTTCTCAACAGAAGCCAAATAAGCAGTTATTTTCTTCACAAAGAATGTTACTAGGCTGAGGAAGTATTAAAGGAAGTCTCAAAATGAAGAGAAGAAGTTCTTCTTTAGGAAAGCTCAAAGGTAAAGAACACTTCTAAGTTAACTATTAGAGCCAAGTTAACTCTCCTTATCTGTTTTGCTATCATCATTCTGGTATTCTTAAATTGTTTAGCCTGTTAATGAGGCCTCAACAGACTTAACCCTGCAGAAACTCTCATAGCATTCTGAGTCAAGACCTCACTGTGCAAGTTTACCCCTGCTTTCAATTTCACAGCATCATCTATCCTTGTTCTCCTGTCATCAGTGCTTAAAGTTCCCCAGCTGTTTTGTTTTTATATAAAACTTGCTGACAGCAGCTCTCAAACATCAAAAACATAGTGAATGTGCAGTTATTCCCAGCAAGAGTGTTTCTGAAATTCTTGGAACACAACAAAAAACTAATAGCACTTTAATCTTGCTTAGCAACATTGAAAAGTTACTTAACATTATTTATTAGTCACATAAAAATCACAAAGAAAAAAGAAGTAAGCATGAGGCAAACTTACTTCAGATGAAGAGCAACATATAACCTACTTAATTGAAAAAATCAAAGTAGATTCTCTAAAATATAAATATTAGAGTTCATAACAAAACAAAAGCTACCAATGATCGCATTCACAGACAGCTGCATTCTCTACAAATAATTTTGTTTCAAAAGCTAATGTATTTCTTCTGGCAAAATCGGAAACAATAAGCCTACTGGGGCCACATGAAAAGCAAAACATACCCTGTCTACAACAGGGAATAAAGCAGAGTAGCCCCAGGAAGAACTGCGTTCCAAGAAAAGTCCAACATATCCCTGCATGTGCCCTCCTGAGGACAGGGAACAAAGTAGCACATGCAGCCAGGCTCTCTCTTGACTGAGCTCGTTTCTGGGAAATTCCCCATGAAGTATTCCAGCCCTTCTCTCATGAAAATTACAGTCTTTCCAACAAATGAGAGACAAGCTACTTCCAAATTAAACTGGACTCTCCAATGCTTCAATGCAGAATGTTTCTGTGTGACTGAAAGTCGTATAACAGAACAAAATCAAAGAACCACAAAATGGCTTGGGTTGGAAGGGACCTTAAAGATCACCTACTTCCAACCCCCATGCCATGGTCCCATTTGAGACACTGATAGTATCTAATGGAATCAGTATGAACAGCTCCTTATATTGAAGATATCACTGTTACCTGAGTGAGGTAGATCGTATCTTTGAACTTTTTTATGGGATCTGTCGTCTGGGGAAGCTTGAAATGATACCCAATCTGTTGAAGCATCTGGTCATTGCCATTTTCATGGTGCTGTCGATGGAGAGAAAAATTGCTTGTGTAGGACCAGTCCTCAGTGGAGGAAACCTTTTAAAAACCACAAAAGTAAAATATCTGAATGAAAACATGCATTGAATTCACATTTTGCATTTAATGACTGACAGGATATTCAGGAAAGGTTTTCTATTACACTCTGCTGGCATTGCCCAACACCTTTAACATTGGTAATACATTTTTATATTGCAACCACGCAGAAATTTTGAGTAAGTAACACCTTTTGCTAACACTCTTTTGTACAAACGCATGAAAACAGACACTGCTGATGAACCTGCAAGAGCAATGCGTAGTTTACTGGCATGAAGCTTATTTGTTCTTTGGTTGAGTTCAACAAAGGGACCTCAAAGATTCCCATGGGTTTGTATCAAGTCAGAAACACCCTAGATTAAGATGAAAGCATGTACTCTATTCAAATATATCTAGGCATGTTTGGTGTCTTAGAAGGAAAGAACCCACATTCTTTCCAGAGTTAATAAATATCAGAAGCTAGAAGGACTATAAATTCTAATAAAATGCATTCAAAACCTGCTATAGCAATCTGCCTCTGGAAACAAATGATGGTGAATTTTTATTATTTTGTTTTCAACTAAGGACAACAACAATGCAGTATAGGTCATACAGCTGTGACTGTCAAGCTTTCATTGTAATTACCATCTCTATAAAATCTTTTATTTAAATTTGTTCATTTTAGTCTGGATAGATTGAAATATTTTCTTTCTCATTAATTTGGATGATCGCACTGATTATATCCCAAATAATATTTTTTGTCCAGCAAACTGAAAGGAATGTTCTAAACTTTTAGACATATGCACAGGTATCATCATTAAATATATCTCTCCCTGAATAAATGTGAAAACAGAATGATATCTCTACTTGAATTACAAAATAAGATAGAATATACAGTATCTTGATTTAATAGGAGACAAAACCAAATCCTTTTAATTTTATCTTTACGTATTGCATATAAGCAAGTAACTTGAAAAAGGAATAAAAAACGTAAAAAAAAATAAAAGGTAAATAAAAAGGTAAAAGAGAATAAAAATCAATAATTTTTAGAGTTCAGCACAATTCAGCACTGGTTGGGTTTCTTCTGTGTCTAATTGACCCATACCCTTCAATACAGCCACAAAAAACAGATGCCAGGCAATCATTACCATATATTAAATAGAATTGATATTAAAATTAATAGTCTTGTAACATTCTCTCATCTACCATGTTCAGCCACCTGACTTTTTATTACTAGGTCACAATACTGCTTATCTTTTATAGTTCACATCCAATGGGAAAAGAGCCACAAAACAAGCAAATCTGAACTTAAGCTAGTAGCCAGGGTCGAGCAGTGCCTTAACATTTCAATCAATACAAGCTTCTCCATTTGAAGAGCTCATCAAAGTGTCGCTTACTGGTTAAGAAAGGAAAAGTTATTTTTAAAACCCAGATAATTAGAAGAAAAAAATATGACTATTTGTTGTTCCTATAATGGCAACTCTAATAAAACAACTGATTGTATTAAAGTTGGTTCCTCTTGAAACATCAAGGCAAATATATTAACCACTGAGGAGGAATCCAGTCCAGTTTCATCCCCTTCCTCCTCACCACCACGCACTTCTCTCCCACCTGCCACTTACCAGACCTAACACTGCATCATTCCAGCAGCAGTTGTGATGCTCTAGTTCATTGGGAAGAGACCCACTGCCCTCACTAAATGAGAGCAGAGTGAACAATAAAGTTTGGAAGCCCAGCCTTACCTTTTCCAGTGTACTGAAGGATGGCCAGGACTGAAATCCATATTCTGAAGCAAAACGAGTTTTAGGATACACTGTCCAGTTCCAGCAGTCACTGCTGTAGTCGTAAAAGTGAGTGTCACCATAATGGGTATCGTAAGGGTTCTGGGAGATCCAGCCTTCTTTAACTGACTCCACGCCATTGGTAGGACTGGATGCAACAAAAGGACGACTCTTATCTTCCTGGGATCAGAGAAGAAAAACAACAACCCGCAACCCCTTATAAAGTGATTGGCTTTTATCGTCTAAATATCTGGAATACGTTTTGAAAAGGGAGGGGGATGCAGGGGAAGAAAATGCCTTTTCCAAAAGTCTGAGTCACCATGTAGGAAACATTATTTTTTGTGTCCTGACATTCCTCATCTTTACTAGCTTAATTAGCTTCTTATTCCTGTTCCTGGAATACAGTTAGGCATGATATTGCTTGCTCTGCTGTTCTAAAGAATTTTCTCCTCACATCAAGAGATTTTCTATCTTTCTATGCTTCTAAATTCTTAATGAAACCTATTTAAAGTGCATCTCATGAAAAATAAACTCAAGGAACATTAATATTTGAGTGCTATGACTTCTTTCCTTTATGTAAAATCATTACTTCTGTAGTGTTTTTGCAGCAGCAAGGCCATGATTTTCCCCCTTTATTATTAAGGGATCACCTAAATTTACTCTCAACAAACTCAAGGTATTCTGCTACTAATGCCTGCATGGTGGCATTGCAGGTTATTGTCATTTTGGCTAGCTCTGCATGTCAAGGAAGATGACACTAAATAAGGGGTTACATTTCAAATTATTCAGAGTGGCCTTTATTTATAGCCTCAGCAGATTTGGTATAATACATCTTCCATCAGTATCCTCAGTACCCTACAAAGTACTGAAGGAATCCTTCTGCAGGTATAATTCATTTATCCCTCTGCTGGTGAGGCAGAGGCCTGAATTACCAGTCACAAGATACTGCAATTGGCTCCAACACAGCACAGCACTTAGACATGTAATTCATTTCAAGAAAGAGTAGCCCTGCTCCTCACCCCCCTGGTACTTTTTTTTTTTTTTTTTTTTTTTTTTTTGGAATATGAGTAATTGACAATTAACTGAAACAATTTATTACAGGATACCCTAGGTTCCCCAAAGTCTTTAAGTGATACAGTTCAGTTCTGCTAGTAGTTAAGGGTTTCCTCAGCTGGTTTGCATTACACAGGACCTGAAATTACATCACTGCATGGTTCTTTCTGGCACTTAAAACAGTTAATCTATAGGCTTAAAAAAAAGAGGCTCCCTGCTGGACAGCGACAATGCACAAGTGGACTATAACTGAAAAACGGTATCAAGCCAGAACACCTCACTTTGTGAAACATGCACTGGCCATCCAAATTGTGCAGCCAGGCACAGAAACACCACAGCATACCTGTACAGGCCACTCAGTGCAAAGAAACTACCTGAGATACAGGCATCTCCATTCTTGATTAACACCTTGATTCTAAGAAACCACTAACACTTAGAACGTACAACTTCGCAGAGCAGGATCCTTTTCAGCAGGTTCTTTCAAACCCATCCCTTGTTTTTATTATTTCCCCGTATTTCCATCTTTCCATTAGAAAGGTACTATGAATTTATTGTTTTTTGTGATGTGTGGTTTTGTTTTGTTTTAAATAGACTAATGATGTTTTTACAGTATATGAAAGCAAAATAAAATATTTGAGATAAGACTTAAACTGTGAGCATGCAAACCAGAAGCACCTGAAATCTGTGATTTGGCACTACTCAGCACAGTTTTTGTAGCTTTATTTCTTCCTCCTTGCAAGTATTGCAGTTCATTATGTTGTAGAATCTACTTTTAACTAACTTTTTTTTTTTGCATATGTAATTGATTTGAAAGTCCCAAATTGATGTTGCATATGTAGGGATTTATAAACAGTGCTTGAACCCAAGTGATATTCATAGCTCTCCTTTTGGCTAAGAATGGCAAAATGTTGCAAGCATTTTGTGTAGTTAGACCAAATAGCATGAAAAGGACAATGTTTGGTGTAGCTTTTGTTTAACATACGTAAGCCAAACACTTCAGTCAAATACTAGAAGTGCACACTGGACAAATAATATTTTCATTAATTTCTTCAAGTGCAGTTGAAAAGCTTAGGGTTGTTAAATCCATCATACAGTATGCTTCAATAAAATCAGGATAATGGAAATTGATTATCTAGATCAATTAATGGGCAAGCTGATTTTTGTCTATTGCAAGTGAAGGCATTTGTGGAGCAAATAAAATAGGAAAGAAAAAAGAGTCAAGACTATCTACATTTTCAGGTCTTCGTTAACATATCACAGAGTCATTTTTTTGTTTTGTGGATGACCCTTGAGTTTAGAGTTGTTTACACAAGCTTGGAAAGTACAATCCCTCAATGTGTTGTTTTTCATTTCCAAAGAGGGTTAAAAAAAAATTGCTTAAATTGCAAGCATTAAAATCTTTTGCCAAGCCACATTCCCCCCCCGGTTTCTTGGCATTACTTACAGCAAGAACTATTTCTCGGATGTTCTTCACATACAGCAGCACGTAATCTTTGACATAGACTTCTCTGTCAGCATGTGGTATGGAGAACCAGTCACTTGCAATTGCTGCTTCATTTTCATTGTTACCACTCCACAAAATAATTGATGGATGGGATTTTAACCGCCTTACCTGAAATACAATTCAGTTTCAGAGGTTAAGCAAAATATGTATTTTAGAAGTAATAAAAAAAAAATAAATCACTTGTTATTACTTGAATTACAAGTCCATGTGCATATTTTACATATTCTGAGTCTACACTCCCATGTTTTTATCCACACTGTTCACTATTTCCCCAGCTCCAGATCAGGCTTAAACTTTTGTATACTTGCACAAACCTTTAATATGCCAACACACATCCATTATACACACACATGTAACTCCAACCGCTTCTACTCAGCCACATGTGAAGGGTAAATTCTGTGCTAAGGCACGTTGCTACCATGAGAGCTCACTCTCTCAGTGGATGCTCTTAAATATCCTTGAGAAGAGAGCAGTTTGCACAGGAGGAAGGCCTGGACCTCTGCTTCACTTACTACTCCTGCAAGTAAGTTAAAGAGGATTTACCAAGATTACTTTTTCTGCCAGCTACCTAAATGTACATTAACAAAAACTTTCAAGTAAACATTTCTGGGAAGCCAAATTACGCAGTCACTCAATCAAAACCAAGTTATGAGAAATAAATCACATGGACAAAATACCTGATGAGAAACTTCTGCTCTTACTGATTCCAAGTAATTCTGGTCAGTTGGATACAGCGCACATGCAAACATAAAATCCTGCCAAATCTATGAGAAATAGGAAATAAAATAAAAAAATCTGTTAGCAAATAATTTTCCACACTTGAAAAAAATAAATGTTTATTTGGATACACAGTACTTTGTTCAAACAGAAGTTATTTATATCAAAGAGAATTAAACTGAAATGCTGCATTCGTTAGTTTTGGAAAGCATCACCAAAACAATCACATCCCCTATGGCATTCAGCATGTGCATACTGCACTGTGTTTTTCCTCAACATAAAGAATTATAAAATATTTACCCCTAGGAACTAGAGCTTGACAGCCTTCACTGAGCGGTAGAACATTTCTCAGTAAGATGTACTTCAATAGGTTTCTGTGGAATAAATAGAACCCATGCATTGCTCAAACATTAATATGGGGCAGTCTCCAGCTGAACAGAACAATTTTGTGTTTAATGCTTTGCATACGTAACATTAAATCCCCATTACTTGTTAAAAGAAGAGAGCAATTCTTCAGATGAGGTATCATGCATGCTTCAAGTGTACTCCTTAACAGAACACTTGCACACCAAATGCACAAACTGATCTTAAAAAGAGCAAATCTTACTCAGTAAGAGGGGCAGAAACAAACTTTAACAGCATGCTTCTCTTTCTCTTCAAAGAAAGATCAAGTAGACCTTGCTAGAAAACAGCAAGCTTTTCAATTCAACAACGAACTCCGTCATTTGTACCTTGAAGGAGAATTACAAAGAAGTGGAAAGGAAGAAGCCCAATGGGATGGGTAGGATTTCTTGTTTTACCTCTTTTTTTCTTTTCTTTTTTTTTTTTTTTCTTTTTAATGCCCTAACTCTGGACTGTCTATCTCAAATGTTAATGGAAAAATCTCTTGAAGGAGTGCATTAACCTAAAGGAGGGAGTCCTTCCCAATGGGCTACACTTTTCTGAACAACATACTACATATATGGCGAAGAGATCCAGCTCAGCTCCTCATACAGTCATGATTTCCTTGCAGGAAAAAAAATGGAGATATGGAAGAAGACAGGGCATGTGTATGTAATGCATCCATAATTGTTACAGTCCCACACTTGAAGAGAAAACAAAGCTACTGCTGAAAACTACTCAGAATCCTTCAGTGACTCTTCAGTGACTGTGTGGAGTCAAAGCTCTCTGTATCAAATTAAACTCTTTCTTTCACTACTTCCCTCGGTGAGCTGTTACTGTTTTTCTTTAAACACAGTTTGACTCTAATGCTCTTTTAAGCCTTTGCAAGACCATCAGAAGGAATAAAACCCAAAGCCTCCAGCACCGCTCCGCTCCAGAATAAGGGTCTGATTTTCCGCATCTACTTGCTATTCCGGCTGCTAAATAAGATCTAAATCTTGTATTGAGCACTGCCCAGGCACAGATCTACGTGGCCTACTTAGATGCACGGTGTCAAAAATGAAAGAACTGCAAGTGCTCAGAAGCCCTGAAAATCAGGGCATTCATTCAGATGACTAAAATAGATGTAACTACTATTTTTATTTTATTTTTTTTTGCCAAGCACACCCAGCAGAAGGCAGCAAGGTGTCAATTCTGTTTTCCTTTTTATATATGCTGTAGATAAAGACCATAAACATTTCTTGGGATTTTAATACCAGATGCATCTCAACCTTCACTCATCCAGTCCCTATTTCATCAAAGCTTATTAACATGTGCCTCCAAGCTCATATAATCAAAGGTACTCATCTAGGATTACATACGTATGCCATAGGTGTTCCCCTGACAGCTACATTTATACTCAATTTTTGCTTGTTCAAAAATTGTCCTTTGGATAATACCTTGGTGTATGGCCAAATGAAACTTTTTTTTCTTAAAAAGTTTGAGTAAAATTTAAATATTTATCTTGACTACCCTTGTAAAAGAAAAAACACTTTTTAAAGAAATAATATTCATTTCACCAGCAGGGAAAAACATGAGTACCTTCCTCGGTGTTTTGATAACTGAGAGGTAGCTTTAAGCACAGAAGTCAAATTGAGCAAACCTTAAATCCTCACTGAGGTCAGATTCCAAGGCCTTTGCTCTCAACCTGGGGCACATACTGAAGTGCTCAGATTTTTCAGCAGGGCTATTCTCACACAAGTAAGCACTAAACACAAACAAAAGGCTCCACAGTCCGGCTGCAGTGCAAAAAATATTAGTTGAGCTCATCAATAACCTCCTCCCATGCACTAAGTGTTTCACAACTATTTCAAGTCCCTTTTGCTGCTTACTCCAGGCCTATAATCCACAAAAGTTCTCCTTTCATGCTCATCAGCACAGTGAACATCAACATCCTGCATTAAGTGACATCACTTGTACCAGTCCCTTGGATGTTCATTATTTCCTCTCATTCCTTTCCATGAGAGTAGGAAATGCAGAACTGTAGAGAGGTACAATATAGGCAGATGAGAGTTTTGGTCTGAAAAGAGATGGAAGAGAAAGAGCTAAAGGCACAAGCCTCTAGCTCTGATTTTGGGAAGTGTAAGAGAGCAGGAAAAGCAGCGACAGTAGAGAGAAAAGGAAGGGAAAGAGAAAGCAAGACTCTGGGCTGGGAAGGGTGGCGAGGAAAGGTGAGGAACAGCCTTAATTATAAGAGAAAATAAAACTGGGGTTCTAAAATAGACTCCAAAATATCACTAGATCACTTCCAGTTTCAACAGACAGCCTCACTAATGAGCAACAATTAAGAAGGATTTATATATATGTAGTATATACATACGTATGTATGTATCAGGCTGGTAATTTACTATGCATTCTTTGGAAAGATGGCTAGAACTTAAGCATTAATTCTCTTATTTTGTTCATTTAGAGTAGACTTTAATTTGCAAGTTCTTATCCATTTTCAAATATGTGGTTTGTCTTTTTGTTTTACCATTATTCCTAGTTCATCGCAAATATCATAAAAATCATCTTGCTCGTATACTCCTCCTCCCCAGACCCGAAGTGCATTCATGTTAGCATCTGCTGCAGACTTCAGGAGTAGCCATAATCTGTAAAATACAAAAAAAAAGATTTAAATAAGTTTTGTGAAAGAGTATTACTTAGGAGTTTCTACAAAAAGTTCATCATTAGCAGGCAATCTTTATAACTCTGGTAGAAGCCAGATTGTTTTGATACCTTCTAATCCTATATATCTGGATCTCAAAAAGCAGTTTTTTGTCTAGAAAAAGTTACTTGGTACTGTTAACTCTGCCAAAATAGATGGAGTGGTACATGTAAAAAAGTGCTTTTACAAAAGTACTTTAATAAAAATAACAGAAAGGCCAGTATCCTGTGTAAAAAACAGCCTTCCCAGCAGCTGTTGCACCTCCCTACCTTGAACATCTTTCCAATCCTTCAGTGATAATTAACCCTTAATCTGAGCTCCCTGACCCGCAACAATTTGTCCTGCCAAAGGAGTCGCAGCCCTCAACACCACCCTTTGATAGAGAACCACAAGGAGGAAAAGATGACCCTTTATTCTAAGAGAACATCAAACGTGGCTTACTTGTCATAGGTCACTCTGTCCTGGAAAGAATCTGCTGGAATCCAATTTGAGCCCTTGATGAAAATGGGTCGGCCATTGATTCTGAAGTAGAAACTCAGACCTGGTGACCCAGGAATAGGCTCCTGAACAAGTTCCACTGTCCGAAAATAGGCCTGTGAAGACATGAAACCTAGGTTTAAAGCAGATAAAAATAAAATAAATCAAGAAAACCATGAGAAAAGCGATTCAACTGAATAATAACAACTAAGAATTTATCAAGAAGTCAAAAGACATGGTCCTGTCTCTAAATTCCTGCTTGCAACGCACTGTGGCAGGGCTAGAAAGAATCCTTCTGATAAACCTATTCACTTCTGAAAGTTACTACCCTATTAAGAGAAGTAGGGGGCTGGAGACAGAAAGAGCATGTGTGCATGTATTTGTGTGTATGTGTGAGAGAGATGTGTGTTTGCTTCCTGCAAAATTCAGTCAAAATTCCAGCTGGGGACCCCTGAGAGGAATACAGCGGTTGCACTAGATCAGACACACCGTTTAATCTGCAATTTTCTCTTTACGGAAGAAAACCGCAGGAGCTCAGCTGCAGGTCTTGTCCCTGAATATCATAATTCAGGTTCATGCAATAAAAACAAAATCATCTTCTTTTGTTGCTCTGAAAAGCTTTTAAAAGGTATGGCAATTAAACAGAAAAAGATACGCAAATACAAACGCTGGCTTGGAAGCAAAGGCCTCTCTGGCCATCACAGCCATATATTTGAACAGCATGCTCAGCTACAAGGTTTCAGAGGGACCAGTTCAGCTAAACCACCAGTAGCTCCGTGTAAGGTATTAAAGGTCATTCCAGATAAAAGCACATCCTTTACAGCTGCCCTTTCAGCCTAACATCTGGGATTGTACATTGTAGACAGTGGAAAAATAAAAATCGTTCCTTCTTCCTGCAAGCGCAAGAAAAGTTCTCAAGAAATCATTCCGGGACTTTATTTCAGCCCAAGTGATGGTGCTGCTCTGCTGCGTGTGCCTATTGCCCTGACATACAGATAACACTGCAGTCACAAGCCAACATTTAGTGGACTGCAGTAATATCTTGCACTGAACCCTTACTTGCAGAGGTGTCTTCCCTACCTGCCATGGGGCTGGTGCAGAGCACCTGCCATCCTGGGGTCCTGCGCAGCTGCAAAGACTCACAGAATACATCTCTTTCAGGAAGACTTTAAGAGTTCTTCTTCTCCCACATCCTTCTTGCACTTCAACTTACCTAGACCAGAAAGAAAACACTCTTCCCCTCCTGGTACCTGTTGCTCATTGCCACAGGGAGAGAGCTGGGAAATTAAACGAAGTGAAGGAAAGCAAATAGCAAATTTCAGCCAGCACACGCTAAGCAACAAGCCTGGGTCATCAGGGCAGGAACCCGAGTGTTTTTTTTTTCCTAGGCTACCCCTGAGCTAGCAACCACTTCTTCCTCAAATGACTATTTGCTATACCTTTTCAAAAGGTCAGCTCGCAGAGCACAGGCTGTTCTGTCTCTGCCATAAGCTCCAGTTGAGACAAGTATCTGTCAGTACACTGGGCTAAAATTAACCTAGTTAAGTGCAACTGATACACCTATCTTTAAGACAAAACGTAATTATTTGTTTCACACACCAAACAACTCTGCAATTCAACAAGGGAGTGACTAATCCCACCATGTGACTATTGAGTTTGCAGCTTACCAAAAATCATGCGGATAGACAGAAAATTATTTCCAGTGGCAGGAAAGAAACAACAACAACAAAAAAAATGTTGGTTTTTTTCTTTCCTTCCTCTTTGGTGCTTCTTAGTCAACTTAACAATAATTAATTAACCCCCGGACAGATGCAATGCAAACTACAAGCACGAGTGAAAACCACAGATCTCTTACCTCAAACTGAACACCTCCGCATCATGGCAGTGACCAAAAGCCAGAAACTTAAATGGAAAAAAAGAAGGGGAGGACTTGCCCAAGTCCTGCAGTGTTCTACAGAGCTGCCCTACAGAAAAGCTACAAAATCAGACCACTGAGAGGACACTTCTGACTACCTGACCAATATTTCTGTGCACGTAGAAAAAGCATTGAGTGTGTCCTGACTTATTTCTACTGTGTTCCTGTTGCATACCAGGTCAGCTAAACACAGACCAGCACACCGAACTGAGCTTTAGGACAGAAATCTTGCACCTATTCCTACAATTTTACATATTTATTTTAACATGAGAAGTTGAATTAAAATAATAATCATCATCACGCAACTCTCACATTTCCCCTAACTACTGAACACTAAAAAAGAAAAACTACATTATGAGTACTACATTAGCTAAAATCTCTGACCTTATTCCAGCGAATTAAATTTATTGTAAAAAAAAACTCCTTAGCCTGCAGTGCATCTTTTTTTGTGGCACAAAATGAAATGGGATTTATAGCTGGGGCTCCCAACGTATTTGGGATGTCCTCTTAATGGATGTCATCACACAGGCTGGGATTGCCTCAGAGTACATTTGTAATGGAGCATTTATATTACTACCAGAAATAACGTGATACTGTTTTACTCATGCTCAAGTGGAACTCAAGCAACGGGCCAAACCAGAGGCAATTTGAGAGGCTGAAAGACCCAGCCAGGACCACCCGGACAGCACGAGCACAGGGAAAAGCTCCTCAACCCCATCTCACATTGCCAGAACTCAGTGCCTTTGTGCTCTCCTTGCTCCCCAGGGACCCACCTGGTAACACAGCACCTCTTCCTGCTGCAGCTTCCTTCTGCCAGGTGGAATAAAAGAAGGGCAGAGGGAGAGGAGTAGGATCTGCCATGCTTGAGCATGCACCTTTCTGGCTGGCTACTGAGACCACAGCAACTCTGGGTGACGTATTTTGATCCCCAAGGACTGAATGTTTCTCCTAGTCTTGGAGCATGCAAGAGAGGCTTTCTAGCCACCAAAGACCATGCCATCAGCTGGTTCTCTGCACGATTAACACATAAATACCCATCTTTTTAAGTCACATACAAAAGTTTTGTACCTGATAAGTGCCTGTAGATCACACTTGGCACTCTCAGATTTAGCAACAGGAAAAGTAACAGGGATGAAGATGCCCAGAGCTGTAATAAGATCAGAGAATGCCTCAGTGATCTAATAAATTAGCAAGCAGCATGAAGGCAGTATGAAAACTACCAAGTCAAATTAAAAGACTTCTGGAAGTCATGTCAAAGGCCTGAGGGAGGTAAGGGTGTAGAGGGAAGGAAGGAACGATGGCTGAAGGTTAAGATCCAAGTTCTGAAAATAGCATCATGAAATAAAAAACTCTGATCGCAGTGTTGTAGAAATAGGCATACAGAAAGAAGGAGAAACTGAATCCAAAAGCAAATAAATGCCTCAAGAGGCAACGGGAGAGGTAGTAAGTTGCTTTTCTTCTTGCTGTGCCTACATCAAGGAACTGACCAACAGCAAACAGAACTGGAACTCTCTCAAGAAAACCCGTTTTATATTAAGGTAATTTCTGGCTATGACTTTGTCTCACATTATTCTGAGAAACAAACTCCAAACCAAAGTATTCAAATGGAAAACCAAAACAAAAACCAACCTCGTCCTGGGTGTTGGCTTCATTCTATTTTGGTTTTCTGCTACTCCCAACGACAGTAAGTAGGTACTTCCTCAGCCAGAGATTCCCGGCAGAGCTGGCTAAAGCCTTAGAGATCTCCACGAGTACAAACTTGGAGGCTTCCCAGAAGTTTTCCCAAGGGATTTGCTAATGTTTTGAGGTTACTCTAACATCAGAAAACAGACAGCAGTTCCTGCTAAGGATAGCTCCATCTGACATAAGACTTCACGCTGTGTGTTCTTGCACACACAGCTCTCGCTCGTTAGCGTTTGCCTGTCCAAAGGTATGCAGATACTCAGAACTCATCCAGAGACATCCCCCTTGAGAAACACTGCATCCCCATTATTTGCCTTTTTAAAAAGAGAAGGGAAAAAACATATCTCACTAGAACACAGCACTAGGTCACCGACAGTAATCTCACAAGAACATTCAGGAATCTCTATCCCTGCTTAGTATCTCCTAAACTACTTCAAGTTCTTATTAAGCTATCTAAACGTTGCTAGTCCTGCTGACACGAGAGCAAACTGAGCTGGAAAATGAAAAAAAATGCTTATGGAGCCATTTTCCACTCGTATAGCTTGCAGCAGGGGAGTGTCAGAAACCAAGACAGAGCTTCACAGAACACACGAAGGATGACCAGACTTTGCACTATAAACACTTCACAGGCTGCTTAATTTATAATGCACGCTGTGTGGTGCATTTGCCTTTTTCTTACCTCTTTCCCTTTAAGGAGAAAAAAAAGAAGAGGCTTTTGAGTATCTTTTGTAGACGATGAAGTCCTTATGGTCATATGCCCCAGGGCTCTGTGAAATACCCTGATGCAATTACCCCAGTGGAATCAATTCATCTCCCTATCACTGTACAGGTTTCACAGAGTAACAATGTCATTTTCCTTTCTATGGGCTTTTTAGCCATCTTTCCTACAACCTGTTTCCCCAAGCACAATGCAGTGTGTTAATTTTGAAATAATTGAAAAAACTACACTAAATAATCTCACCATTAATAGCAAAGAACTACTATGAGGACTTCATAATCAAAGTAGCCCCATAAGGACTATGACTCCAGAAGCTGCTGCATTTTGTAAGATTTTTTACATGAACAAATGTTACAGTGAATAGCTTTAGGTGCCTGGTGACCAGCTTAGCTTTTAGTGAAACAATGCATCAGAACCACCTAATAAATGCATATGTTTATGTCATTGTTTCCACGTGTTGATGGCATAAGGGACCCAGTTTAATTTATGTGATTTTTTTCTCAATAGATGGCTGCAAAATACTTCTTCTAGGCTTCTTAGTAACAACAATCAGGTAATTACGCAGCCAGTGTGTTGCAGGAACCTTTATGCAAATATCCCTGAATATTACTTTTGTGGTCATATTTAAAATGTTGTCTCTTCTACAACCTGAAGCACATCTATCACATTCTAATAAATGAATGTACGTTAGCTTTTTAAGAATATACCTATTCTGCAAATTAAAATAATTAAAAAAAAAAAAACAAGAAAAATCTTGGTAACAAACCTTCCTCTTCACGTCATCTATAGAACTCTAAAAGGGCTTTTCTATGCATGACACAACAATATCACGGTGAAACATCATGTTTAAAAGAGCCTTTTTCAGAGGTAGAGAACATAAGTAAACATCTTTTGTTTTCCCAGGTCTCCAACTAACTGAGGCATTTTTCAGCCTGAATAAAAGTGAAGGCACCCATATTGGATAATGCTACCAGAAAAGAGGTAAACATAAACTGTGACATTAAAAAGCTCTTGTTTCTCATTGCTGCTTCCATATGTATATTAAAATCCAGTAAAATAATTTAAAGCTCTAGATACATGATATGCAGAGCAGATGTTCCAGCAGAGCAATGCCAGCTAGAACCAAGCTGAGGGGCTCACCTTTGAAAATTTCTCAATCTTGTATCCTGCCTCCATGATGAAAGTTGTTGTCACGTTATATCCAGTTTGTTTCCCATGTCCATTCGGCCACCAAGCTTCCACTGTGGAACTCTTGAAAATAGAAGAAGAAAAATCAAAAAGTTGCATATGACTTGGAGGCATAACATGCACCTGGGGGCACAGCTGCCTTCGAGTGAATTACTACAAGCCTCATGAGTTTATGTGCCTCAGCTGAGCCACGGTAACAGGGATCCCTCCAGCTGCAGCACTCAGGTGAAAAGAATTCAAGGTGTGATCTCTACCACTCAAATCCAGGCTATCACTTCACCCTGAGTCCACAACAGGCCGTGAGAACAAACATGCACACACACATCTAGCCACTACCCTTCTGCTGAGGTATGCTGACAGAAAGTTCCTCCAAAACCCAAACGTTAAGTCTCAGGAGTAGACACTGCTCACTAGCCTCTGTATTTTACCTCTCCTCCAACTGGCCCTTTTACCCATTGTATGTAACAACTGATACACCAAAGTGACGCCTTTCAGTTGTGACCATGGTAATATGTGACCAGGCTGTTTCATTTATGTCAAGCTTTTAAGTCAAATTAAAAGTTTCGTTCCCTTTTCAGTGCTTTCTGCTTTTTCTCTGTGCTTCCTGATCACTTCAATGGTACTCCATGATTTTCACAAACACAAAAAACTACTTCTCAGCTGACAGAACGATTTAATTTTCTCATTTTTCTAGCCACTGAGGGTAGTATTTATGTAAAGAATTTCCTACACTTCTCTCTATTTTCATTCCAGTAGCCTATTTCTGCTGCTCAGTCCTACTGCCAACATTTCCCAGTTGAATGCACAACACAAAAATAGTGAAAAGAAAGCAATAATGCATGCAACCTAACAATGGAGGGATCAGCACTGAATAGAGTCATGAAAGGAGTGCCTCAATCCTTTCGAATAAAACGAGGCCAGAGAGCAGCCCAACAATATGTTTTGCTGTAGCCACGCTTGGACATTATCATTAACGTTATCTCCCAACATTTCAGCTTCCTCCATCTGGAGTTACAGGGAGGCAGAAGGAAGCACAAAATCAGCAGCGAGGGCGCGTTTGCAGCCGCCGAGCATTGGCCACGAGTGATGTCACCCCCACGCTCACCGTTAGCTGATAAGCAAAACGCTGGCATGTCAGCACCACGGCACGCTGCAGGGAGACCCGCTCCGCCTCTCAGCTGATAGGCACCGCTCGAGCATCTGCTGGCTTTGCAAGGCGATCTGCAATGAACTCTCAGCACATTTCTGGCGAGGTCTCGCTATTTAACATGCGCCACATGGGGCTGCTGCACAGAGCAGGGGCTCCGTTAGGCACACCAATACGTAAGGAACACATTGCAGGGCTTCTTGTAAAATCAGCTGCCGTGAATTCAGGCAGCAAAGCCCTTTGTGTACAAAGAATAATAAGACGCTGCTGCCTCCGCTCTGAAGGATACGCTTCCTCACAAACTTGCCCTTGTCCCCCTACTTACAGATTTCTTCTGAAGCTGGGGACAGGGTGGTTAAATAAATCAAAATCATTTTTGCAGTTTCATATTGCAGTGCCTGCTTAATGTAATCCCTGGAAAGGCTAGTGATCGTTTGAAATAAAATTGGGTATTTGTAATTACTCGTGTAACTTGCACATCTGATGACAACAGTAACAAAAATCATATGTTTGCATGTCTTTATGTTTTCATGTCAAAATAAAACACAGTCATCAGTATGCAAGTCACCGAGCATGCATTTTAAGACACGAATATCCTGCTCGTCTTTAACACGCTCCTTCTCCACTCACACAACTGACAAGAGAACTTGAGAATACACACATAACACGTTCAAACTGGGGAAACAAATGCAGAGTTACACAGCAAACGAGAAAATTACTAAAGGCCAGCATAACATACAGAGCCTCAGATGTTATTACCTGCCAGGACAGCCCCAGATTCTCACTCACAACGCAGCCCTCACCCCTCAACCTAACCATGCCCTGGGGCAGTGAAGCTGATTGCAGCTCCCTTAGGCTGCTTGGCTCCAATGGAGCAGGCTCAGCTGCTCTCAGGCTCAGCTCTGCACTGTCAGCTCCACCAGGGCCTCACTTTCTGAGCAGGAAGGTGAAGTTCATGCTGCTTATCACTGCACTGGGCTCACTGGCTAATTCAAGGCACCCACCTATTTGTTAGCACAAACAGGTAACTCTTTTTCTTCACCATTTCTCAAGCCTAGGCATCTTTTCTTAATTATACGTATAAAACTCAGCACAGTTTCTAAGAAAACACAAACAAAAACTCCAGAAGTGACCTAAGTGTTGGCGAATTAAGCCTTCCACCGGATCATTTCCCAGCACTCTCTGAAGGTGAATAGACCAATTCCTCCCTTTTCCATCACTGGGGCAGTCTACCAAATTCATTGTTTTTCAGTTGAACTATTTCCTCATTAGAGCATCCTTTACCTCTGAAATTCCTTCCGGGCTTTGTCTACCTAACGGACTAAAAGCCAGTGTAAGAAGTACTACTCAACAAAATGTCAGTATTTCAAAATTACTGCAGTATTTTCTAGTCCCAATCAACCTGGTAAACAACAGCATAGGAGACGAGACACCTATTGATGGAAAAGTGAAGTGACACATGGTATCCAAAAGTTATCTGCTTTAGCAGCTTTTTTTACAGCGGCCAGTGATGATGTGATCTTTGTAATAAGGGATAAATTCCCTTATCCCTTTGTAATAAGGGAAAGGCTTCACTATCTCTTTTAACACTGAACTACGTAGCTCCACAGAAATCGGTTTTAATAGAGGAAAGAATCCTGTCCTATTCTCCAAGGGGTACAGAACTGTTGTTAAAGTCAGGAACAAACAGAGAAAGGGGAGGTGGGCCCGTAGCTGATATGGAGGCAGAAGAACCCACTGGAAACAGGGCAAAACAGTTTGCATTTGGTTAGTGCTCCACACAAACCTCCTTACCTTGTTGATGTTTACAAGCAGCACAATGCTGCCTTCTCCAGGTTGAAGCTTCACATTGTATGTTTGCTGTGTTTGCAGCTTGGGAATGTTCACAGTCACCAGACCTGCAATTGGCTTGGAGCTGACTACATCGAAGATGGACTCGATTTCAAGACTCCACTGCTGGGTGCTCTTTACTAAGAGAAAGGGGAGAAGAAATGGGAATGCAGGAATTGCGTTCATACACCTACTAGTAAATGTGATTGCCCATCAAAGAAACAATTTAAGTACCTCAGATTAAATGTAACAGGTTTTGGGCCGTGTTTGAGCCAGACCTACAGGGTTAATCTTGCTTAGTGCATTTGGTATGTGTTTACATTTGCTGACTTCAAGAGGAACTACGCTATTTTTCTTTTATACCTCACTTTTTTTTTTTTTCCATTCCAATGCCATCCAGGGCTTTTTCCGAGTCCTGCAGAAAAGTCAGAGCACGGCACTAGTCACTCTTGATTATTAGGAAGGGTTTTTTTCCCACCAACTCCCACAGACATTATATTTGCCTTTCGTCAGCACTCATATGAACATGGTACTCTTTGGGAAAGATCGTAATCACAGGGCAGTACAATCACTTTTGTCTACGAAACAAAAACAGTATTAACAGAAAACGAGCCCAATTCATCCCAGAGTCACTGCACAATATGAGTGGAGTTATGCTGGGGATGAATCGGGCCCATTGTGTCTAGACTGTATCGTTATGCCCCTTTTGCCCCCAAAATGTGATGGAGGAAACACGTTAATGACTTGCCTGAGACATCACCACAGCTACCTGCGAGCCCTCCCCTTTACAGAACAACTTCCTGATAAGGCAAGACAGGGTGAAGGGTACTCAGGACTGATGTTTCCATTTCCCACTAACTTCAGCAATTAAGTTATCTATCTAGAAGCACAGCCTGGGTAATCCTGTAATTCATATGCTTTCTGTTTGGATAGATGCTCATCTGTAACAAGGAAAACTAGAACTAAGACACATTTTGTACACATAAGCTGCTCACCACTTACTTTCTCTTTTCACGTGTATATTCTAGCTCTCCTTCCAAGACAAAAAGAGAGCTCCCTCCAAAACCAAGTATTACATTCAGTCCTGGTCTGGTTTCACTACTCTTATAGAATTAAGAGCACCAAAGGGCTTTGCAAGTTTATATTACTCACAGCATTATCCAGGTAAGATCAATTTTCAGAAGTGTTAATGGGGTTGAAAAAAACAAGCTACACGAAGGGTCAGTCATTACAGAGCATTTTCCCTCCCCTCCATGGGCATAAATCAATTCCAGCCCACTCCTTAACCGCATGACCTGTGGGCCTAGGCACAGAAATCAAGAACAATTCATCTTTCACAGACTCAGTGGTCAAAAAGCTGATGTCACCAAATCTGATGAGCAATGTAAGCGCATATGTAGTTTAAATTCAAGTCGTTCATTTACTCTTTATTTTTCAAATGTCATTATGTTTGAATACTAAACAGCTCCGGCTCTGGTTCCAAAGCACAAGCACTCTCTGCTGAATGAAAGAGGTTTGCTCTCTCTGCTCATCCAGAGACTAAGACTTTACCTACCAGAAGGTGGAGTTGTGGGAATGTGGGAGGGACCAGAAAAGATTTTTACTTTAACTAAATTTTAGAGAGCAGAGTCTGTGCTGGGGCTTTCCATGGAAATTCCAGTCACGTTAATTCTAGCTAAGACCTGCAGCTATTTCAGGAAGCTTTAAAAGCATCCAGGGAGTGACGTCTTCCTATTTTATTCATACACAGCAACTCTATTCCCAAGGGCTGAAATTCAACCCAGTGCAGAGGACTCACGTGCTAGCCTTTACTCCACTGAAGACTGGGCTCAACAGGCAGAGAAAGAAAGCACGCGGGTGGTCTACAAAGGCACATATTACCTTTTACAGAAAGTTTCAACAGGAAAATTAACTAGTTTTGCTCAGCTACAATGATCTTCTAGACAAAGGAGAGGAGAATCAAAGACCATGTCAAGGGAAGAAACCGGTTAGGTAAGCTAGGTAGCAGGAATGCAGAAGGTTGTCCTCTCAAATTGCAGCCTTGACAAATTATCCTTGCATAGCATAGCTGCTCTTCTGTCTCAGACTTCGTGTTGTGTCCCGAAAATGTGGTGCTCTTGAAACTCTGCTTACCCTGCAGCTGCCTTCCAGACACAGAACTAAATTCCCAGAGCAGTTTTACCTTTGTTTTAAATGGAGGTCCGACAAAAGTGAGAATTATTTATTGGTAGTCTTGGTAAAAATATGTGCCAACAAAAAAACTTTTTCTGAAACAAGAGAACAGGAGCTGACCTCAGTTGTATTTCATATTTTCATATATATACATTTCATATTTTCATTCGGTGATCTTCAAACAAAAAAAGATTCTGAGTTCTAACATTTTCATTGCTATTGTTTGTACTAAAGTACTGTTTCAAGACCGAAACCTGTGTGCTGTGGTAAGCAGTACACACAAAGTCACCTTTCCTAAACGGATAGTTAATGTAGCTTAACAACACAACGGTTTGTATTCCAAAGGTAAAACAACAATAAAGGATAGTAACGTGACTTACCAAAGAAAGGAGTTAAAGAAAAGTAGATCAGGTGATAATAGTTATAGGCCTCAATCCTAACATCTTTCCAGATTCCTTGAGTGGGAAAAGAAGGGCCCCAGTCCCAACCAAATGAACACTGCTCCTGGAACACAAAGCGATTATGTTACAATTGCCTACTTTTCACACAGAAATTGATGCTGTGCCAGAAATAAAAATGATTTGCTATCTAGACATGAAATACTGCCATGCACTGGAAGAATTTTTCCAATTTCCATCAGCCCAGAATAGCCTACAATATCTTTTCCCTTACTTCTTGAACAAAACTCTGCTGCCACTACTTTATATAATGATACAAATTTGTATTAAAATATCCAAGTATATTAAAACTTAATATTAGGGAGAGCAAAACAGCACCTGCTCCAACATTTAAAAAGATTAAAAAAAAAAAAAAAGCCAGAAGGTTACTTTCAATTCAGATTCTGAATTATCTTAGTTTGTAAGGCCAGTATTTAATTTTATACCTAAAAGACAAAGTAAGCAGAAAGCTGATGGTTACAAATGTTAAAGAGAAGTACTGTAAAATAATGACATCAAATTAAACATCATGGGCATATCTAAAATATTTTACCCCGTTTTTTTGTTTTAACACCATAGATTAGTACAAGGAAAGAGATGCACATGTCTGGTGCAATTGTGTAGTTCAGTCTCGTTCACTGTTTCTCCCTTTTTATGACTCTTTCATACAAAAACAAAGGGAACAAAAATACAGTTGAGGAATATCTTTGTTCTGGTTCTAACATCAGAAAAACTGTCAGAATTATAAAATGCTGCTCAGGCAGAGAAGTGCTGCTTTCCATTTAGCTGTTTTCAAACCTGGACAGACCTCTAGTTAACAAATCCCTTGAAGACATCTATTCAGCTGCCCTCCAAGCTTCACACACAGCCCCAGCCCCCAAAGCAAATACAATAGATCTCCTTAAAGTCTTGCACAGTGACCTACAGTTCTAAATTTAGAGACTAATAACTTACAGCCGAGGCATACTAATTTTGGCAAACCACATTGCACAAGCCTGGCCTATCCCTTGCATCGCTGGAGTCAGCCAGCCTGCCTATCAAGTTGCAAAAGAGCCTTCCAGGAAGCAAGCACTGCACCTATTTCAAGTGCAAAAACAGGGACAATACATTCTTAGAAAACAGATCAGATAGAAAGTCATTTTCCCTTTATAAAAGAAAAACAAATGAATCACTGACAGATTGTCAGATTTCACTAATAATATTGCAGAGACTATCAGAAGTAATATCATAAGAACAATACACTCGTATCACTGATGTTCATTACCAGTTTGTATTTCGAAACAAATTCCTATTAAGATTTAGATACATTTACTGCACGTAACACTGAACCTCAAACGCGTGTACAGCTCTCCATTATTGTATGATGAGAAGCAGCCAGCTTACTTTAGCAATGTCCTAGTGCATTTGTTTACTTTTAAATGTGACATTGCTGCTGTTTTTGCCACGTACTTGGATCTAAAAAATTTTCTGGAGAAGTCTGAAGCAAGTTTCGAAGCACAGTCAAGCAACTCCTTTGAGAAAATGAACTAAGGTACTCACAAATTTAAAGGTATATTTCAGTAAAACATAATATCATTCCTGGCCATTTTTGCTCTATAAATAAGACTACAGCTGTTCAAGTGCCTTCTTCTCTTTAAGTTTCTCCCTGCTCTGATGTCTAAGAAACACAATGGAGACGGCGCATGGACTCAGAAGAATTAATTAACTTTGTAAAATGTAATAAAAACAAAAGCAGCATCAAGTAGTGATTAAGGCAACATCTTATACTGATGGATGTTCCCAGGGCAACATGAAATCTACCTTCCTTTCCCTTAATGTGTTTTAGAGCAAATTACACCTAGGTATAGATAAACAAGATTCACCTTGTTTTTTTGAGAAGCCTCTACAGGACTTTCTTAAAAAGATCCAAGTTTATTAACAAGAAAGGCATTTAAGTGGAGACAAACAAGAAAAATAAATTAAAAAACAAAAACAACAAAAAAAAAACCAGCAACTCCAAAGAAATTCACCTAGCCACTTTCCAGCTGCTGCAAAGGTGTCAGAAATACATGAGATGCTACACAAACGACAGTTTACACAGAGGAAGTTTTAGCAGCAACGATACCATGTCTTAACTCTGAGTTTAATTCTTTGTGTATTACGTTGCTGGCTTCACTGAATACGTACATTCTGAAGTCACACTTCACAACACCATAATAAGATGAGAACGGGTCCTCTGTTAGGTTAGGTAACACTTCTCAGGACCTGCCAGAGCTTCCCGGTATAAATAGCACAGTACACAAGCAACAGCAAACACTCACAAAGCTGCCTGGCTGAGATTTTTACAGCTCTGGCAATATAAACTGGTATTTGTAATAGTGAACTCTATTGTCAGCACACACTGCTAAACCCACCCAGTGGATCAAAATGTAATGATCACACATTTCCCAGTGCTAGCCTGCTCTCTTAGCAGCCAATCTTCTTGCACTCCCCAAAAAAGCCAGCTTTTCAAACATTCTTATCAGCTAGATACGTTCAGCCTGGCCTTTACATGCCTCCCTCATCCTGCAGGTTTCTTGGGGATGCAGGAGAAGAGAAACACAATGAAAAATATGCCCTCCTAATAAAATGACATTGCAGGTTTCAGAATACATCTGTAAGGACAGTCCGTGGTGCATTCCTATTTTTGAGCCTGAAGCCAGAGTCAGAAGATTCTGCCCCTACCTTTCTGATGAAATTGGCATGGCACTCTCCTTTCTGCACAGGTGGAGGGCACGCCGGGGGGATGCTGTATGCTGTGTGACATCTGCTCTGCTCTGCAGCGTATGAAATTGCTGATAAGAAACGGACTTCAACAAAATTGACCTCCTTGATCACGCTGGTAATATCAAAGCTCTAGGTCAAGAAAACAAAATAAAATCATTACAGCACTGACATTTATTTACGAGACTTATAATCACTGTCACATTGGGGCTTTAATACCATACATATATTATTCAAAAGCATTTGAACTGAAGCCTCAACAGGGTCTGGTTTTGAAGGAACAGAAAATTAAGGTTGTTTCTTAAGCTGGAAAACAAAATACACAGTAAGATTCTAGATAGAATGAGGTCTTCCTGGGCAAACCACTTTGCCCATACTGAGCCCCCACTGCTGGCGGCAGCGGTCTGCTTGCACACAGAAATGCTTGAAGGAGGAGGATGGCAAGGGAATCTTTACCTTCCTTCCTCACTCAGAGCTCATCTACATGCTTAGAAAGGCACTTTGTTCCAACTCAGAAAGCTGGTCTATACAGGAGCCCTTCCAACTCATGCTGTGCTGCCAGCTTCTCTACCACAAAGCACTGAGCTGCCTTCTGCATGAATGCAGCAAGGCTGTATTTCATGCTACTTCCACTCCCATGCCTAAAATGTAGAGATACACATTAATGTCTGCACCACACAAAGCATTTGGGGGCTTCCCCATTGGCTCACAAAACCCCCAGTGTGGCTGGACAGGAGGATAAACATCTAAGTTTCAGAATTGTCTTGTTCTATCAAGACAATAGGGTCCCAACGCCTAAAAACTGTTTCTTCTTCAGAGCGTTCATTTGTGACAAGCCAAATCTTGGCAACTTTTTCCACCTTGTGAGCAGCCCAGCTAGCATCACTCACTTCCATTCTATAGCATTCAGCAGAAAATTGCAAAGGAAACAGCATCCCCTCACACAGCCTTCATAGAGACTTTCCTGCAGACATAGTTATCGTGGAACATTGTGAACAAAGCAGAAGTCTGGGTCACAGCAGTTCTCGACTCAATCTAATACAGTTCACCCTGGTTTTACCCTGAAGGCTATTTCATGAACTGTTACAATCTGAGACAGAATGAAGTTGCAGAAATAAGAGCAAACTAATAGCACTTCCCAATTCTACGGAGCCTGCTACCCGTAATCCCTTAAATACTCTCCAAATATTAAATAATTACAATTTCATAACAGCCCTATGAAATTTCTTATTTCACAGATGGCAAAACTAAGTCACAGAGAAACTGAGTAATTTGTCCCAGATCACACAGACCCAGGAGGCAAAATCTAGTTCTCATGTCTCAGTCCAGTACCTCTGCAATAAAACCTGCCAGAATGGTAAACGCTGAAATATGAAGACACAGGATTTACTTTTCAACTCAATGACTCCACTGATATTCTTTTAACTTTTCCTTTTTTGGATTCCTTTAAGAAAAAGGCAAGTACCCAGAATAATTTTACACTTTAAAACTACAGAATTAGTTTTAATGTCTTTGCCACTCTCCAGATCATTCTATGATGAGTAGTCTCATCCTGACTTAGTCTTACATCTTTGGACTCAGCCTATGTTATCAAAAGCCCGGTATCAAAAATCAAAAGCAATATAACAAACAATACGGAAACACTTGTAAGGGCTTTGCACCATGTGCATTTTAATTTCAGTATTTAAATGTAAACCATTCTAATACCAATTAGTAAGCAGATTTACAGCTAATATAACCAATTTAAGCTTACGTTTTCTTGGAGCTGTGACAGGTCCCAAGAAGCAAGACTTATATTATTAGCTGAACTGATCCTTGATCCTCTTCCATGGGTTCACTTGTTCAGAACAAGACACACTTACCTCTAGTTCTGACCCTGTTGCTACTGAAAAGGGAAGTACGACTTCTCTTTCCAACACTTATCTGATTCCCTGTGCAGCCCTCAGGTCAACACTTTCTGGGTCCAAGCACCTCGCTTCATGTGTACTTGAAAAATGAAAGTGTTCAGCACAAAAGGGCTTTGAATGAAAAACAGAAGCACTTTCAGAACTGAGCACATTACTTACGTATCTGTTGAACATGTTATCTGTTGTCCCAAGAGTGACATTGTTGATCAAGATGTGTGCTACTGTATCTACTCCTTCAAAAACCAAATTAATTCTCTGCCACTTTCTACAAAAGACAACATACACATGCAAATACACATACAAAACTGTTAGAATACCTACAGTTAACAGCAGACAGAAAACACATAATTTTAAAATGTACATTTCCGCTACTGTTGGCGGCAATTGTCTCAACTATATCCAAAAATGTTTGACTCTATGTGTGGCTACTTTTATAACTTTAGTCAAATTAAGATGACAGCTGAAGTGTCTCAAGTCTGCAGCACAGCATGTTCGCACAGCCACAAAGTATCAGATGGGCTAGCTTCCAATTAGCCTAAGTATTATTCTTCCTCAGTCAGCAATTCATAAGTAATTTTTAACAATGGAGAAAAAAAAGTGAAAAAGCAACTCCTGCAGCATCCTTTAGCAGCAGCTTTGCAGCTGTACGTTATTGCATAATTTATTAGATACAGAAGTAGCATGTAGATTTTGAGCTGACAGATTAACCAGCAATTCTGCATGACAGATACTGTAAAACTATTTTAGACATATCCTTATTGCATACCTGACGTCAAAAGGAGTTTTGAACGTCCTGCTGTAAGTCCAGTTATCCAGAGAGATCCACCTGTACATCACATCATTAAATCTGTAATATGGATCCTAATAACAGACCAAAAAAAAGAAAATGACATGACTCATTTACTAATAGTGTTACCACATGAATATTCATTAGAAGAGCTCTTCTTAATTCGGACACCCTGCAAATGCAAAACTCACCTAGTTCTGGTATTTCTTTTTACCTTTGAAATAACATGTAAAGCGAAGCTTTGGCAATATTTGGCTTTAACTATATAGGTCATATCCTGTTTGCTATAATCATTCATACTGAAAATAGAAGGTGCAGGATTTGTCTTTATATAAGAAATGACTGGCCTGGAAATTAAAAAAAAATCAAAAAAAAAAAAAATCAAGACAGCTTGTGACTTAATGAGAGGAACAGAAACATGATGACCGTAATAACGATGGAGAAAGATTAAAAGGATTTTAAAGAGGAAAAAAATAGCATTTTATGCCTCTGGGGACAGCTGTGAACAAATCTTACAGTTTAAAATAATAGCAAATACTCCAGCTGTTTCGTGTCAACCTGTGCTGATGCGGTAAGACTACGTGAAATTGGTTTGTTTAGAAGGAGGGAAAGAGCAAAAAGAAACATCGCAGTTTGGTTTATTGCATAAAATTAAATGACTACCTTTGGAGAACAATGCTGCATTTATACCGAATGTGTTCTTTCCCCTTTAGTCACACTGCTCAGGAAGAATAAAGGCACAGCTGGTACAAGCTACGTGCTCGGCCTGCCTGGCTTCACGCTGTGTTGTTATTACCTTGTGGCGGGTCACAGCGCTCCTCACCTCGGCTGAAGAGATCAGCTGCCACCCCGCTCCTCACACCAGGGCGAGGACAGGAGATGTGCTCCGTGTGTGGGGATCTGGGGCAGCCACCGACAGTTTTTTTTTTACTGGAACTCAATTTTTCTTCTCGTTTCAGGAGTCAGTATAAATACTGACACTTCTGGATTTGAATTCTTCTGAAAAACATTGCTTTATATCTCACACTTGTGATAGGGGCAGGCTCTGCAATACAGACACAAGCCTATTTATACAGCAGAGCAATATTACAAAAAAAAATATGGAATTGCAGCATTTAAGTGTCTTTTCTCAGCAGCATAATCTCCTCTGAGTCCTGCAGCAATATAAATGCCAGTCCTTGAGCCCACAGAGAGGGCAAGCCATAGCCTTGCCTCATGTTGTGTTCTATCAATCAAACCTCTTGCCACAATCTCTTACCAGCGTCAAGAAGCCTGGATGTTAAAGATGTCACAGAAGAAGGACCTGACATCTGGAGAACACAAAACTGTTCATCTAGCAGCAGACAGACACGTAGGACAGTTTCATCAGAGGCAGAAATTACATCATCAGATGGGCTCTTACAAAAGTGTACAAATCCTCTCAATGTTCGGGGAAAATGGACCACAACAAAGAAGGATGACTTCTCCAATAAACTCATGAGATTACTGGCATCTTCATTACTAAAACAAACTGGTTTTGAGTGCTGGCAGATGTATCTATACAAGTCAAGCCGGCTGGATTTATTTGAAATAGAATTTCCTCCCGCATTACATCAGCTCCTATTAAAATTCGAGGTTCATTTCAGAAAACCGGATGAAGAAAAAGACAAATTTAAGAGCCCTGTAAGGCACTGGCAGAACTGGAAGGATGGTAAGCAATAGACTGCACATGTATTAAACACACTTCACATTCATTAGCTCAACATGTTCCTGGAAGCAAGCCGTGACGGGGTGGAGTCAGCTCCGGCTATTTTTAGAGCCCACCGAACGTGACAGCCTTGCGTTTTCCTGCTCTTTGCAATTTTGGGAAAAACGCTCATCTGCTCAAGCTCCCTGCTTGCTTGTTCTCTGCTCCCATCCTCAGCGCTGTAAGCGAGCAGCAGACAGCCTGCCAAGATGAAGAACTGCTGAAGAGCAGCGAAAGGAAGCAATTTCCCCTGCAGGTAGCAGGACATGAAAAGCACCGGCAGTATGAAACAGCCGAGGGTTCTGATGTAAGCTCCTCCTCGCAGTGACCTTAAGGGGATATGGAAAAGCCACGGTCATACGAGCCACGAACCTCTGAGCTTGGCAGGAAACGGAGGAGACACGGACACACCTCAAGGGAGGCTCAAAGCCTGCGTGTGTGGTGCCGGGCATGCAGGACCAGCTTCGGGGAGCATGGCACAAAGACCTGAAGGACACACCAGGCAGATCAGCTTGTCATGGAATGAAATGAAAGAACAGGAATAAAAAGCAGATTCTTCAGCGTGATCCTACCGTTATTATGATCCAGACTGAAACTGCCTTGCAAGCTCCTCTCACAAATCACTTCTGCTGACAGTTTACAACGTACGCCATTAAGAGAATCCTGCTGAAGTCACAGAATAGCCAAATAACTCCTTCAGGACATATTTAATGATTTTGCTGTTGCCAACTTCAGACTTGAAGCAGATCAGTTAGGATGCTTACCTACACCCCCCAATGCCTTAGCACCTCGAGCAGCAGTACCCGTTCTTCACTGAACCTGGCTTGAGGCGAAGCTGAGCCCAGTGGCAGCGAGGAGCGACCCATGCTCATGGACCATGCATTTTGGAAGTCTGTCCCAAGGCCATTTGTTTGCAATACTTACTCTGCCAAAGCTGCTACTGAATGTCACCTGATGGTCAAGATGTGATACAGCTGAACACAGCCAAATATTATGGCAGAATCAAGCTACAAGACCAGTATTAGGATAATTGATACGATGCTAATAGCCATTTCTTAATATTCTCTGAACACTTTGCTGTACTTAAAAGGCTCAACTCTTACCTACAATAACTTCACAGGCATTTGAAGGAACTCCTGCTCATCCTAATTTTCACCAAGGTTTTGGGATGTTTCCACATATGCTCACACTGCTCATCAGAGTACGAACATTTCAACAAAAAATTATATTTGTATTAATGAACTATTTCATCAATGACTGCTGTTTAACCCGTTAGAACCGTATGGTAACAAACCCAATTGTTACCTGGCATGATCTGAAAAATCTGGGCTATGAAAAAGTGCCAGAAAACACACAACATAGTATTTCATATAAACGTAGAAGTAGCTACAGAAAATACGACTGCTTTACAGAACTGCAGAAATATCACTCGAGACATGCAAGCTTCTGTCTCTTCTAATATCTTTTACTACACAAGTAGGACTGAGACCACTGCAACCTTCTGTGTCAAGTGCATGCCCTGGTTGTACAATGGGGCACAAGCTGCACTGCTATCCAGCCCTTCTATTAGCATCACAGTTGCACACCCCCTATAATAGTTCTTTACAAATCAAAGTGACAGCTAATAAGACAAAACACCCTTTCTGTATGAATGCAAATGGCTGGCAGATGAGAAAATCCAGCTACAATAGCCATATTCATCACGAGTGAAACTTTATAGGAGTCACCTGCCAGCAGTAACGGCACCAAGCAGCACTTGGGCAGTACACGCAGGAGGACTATTATTTCTAGCACAAAGATCTAATGCACGAGTTACCTGCTGATATATCTCGCTTATCAGAACCGTGCCTGAAAGAAAATACTACGCTGGCAGCACAGTTAAAAACTCAATCTTCCAATCTTTTTTCAGAGATCTGGGGATAGCAATAGATTTGCTGCAAATTGGTGAAATGTCTGCACTTACGTTCAGAAGCTTTGCACTGGCTTCACTCAAGTGACTAGTAGCCTCCTTTAAGTGCATTTCTCCTTTTTTTGTTTTAATTTTACATGCAAACAGTAATAAGAGCTACTTATGCTGAATGAAATCTTATTAAAACAATACAGCAAAACAATAGTACTTCAGTAGGAACCTTGGAAGCATCTTCTCCAAGAGCGTTTTCTAAGATACGTACATTTGGTGCTTTCAAAAAGATGGGTTCATCCAATGCAAATTTTATGAGCCAAAGAGCACCAACATCTCTAGAAGGAATCCTAAGAGGATCCGGAGAGATGAGTAACAAACCCTCAGTGCCAGAGCTTTCTTTCAATTCAAATGTACAGCCTGCACAGCCGATTGACGTGAAGCTACAGACGTGCAACCAGCTACAGCGTCCCTGGGCAGAAACACTTTGCGCCTCAACCTAAATTCAAAACAAACCACATATTGGCAAGTAAGCTGCTTGCAGCCTACTCTTGCAATCTAAACCACGCTTTGCAGGCTTAGAAACCAGCAGCTTCTTTTTGATGCCTTCCTCCCCATCATCTGTGGGGCACCCACCAGGCTCCTCTGCTGGGTGTAGGCCCTCCCAAGACTCATTTATTTTACCCTTGTGTTTTGGGTGCTCTCCCATGAAAAAATCCCAAGGCTAAGGAAGCGAAGGATGCAGGTGCTATTTGCCATGTGCAAACCACACAGGAGAACAGCAAACAGACTTCACTGGGCCCCTGAACATATGGGTCTTGCTGTGCAGAATTTAATTCCCACCAGTTTTGTTCTCCTGTTTTCTGAAGACCAATCTTCACTTTGATTACAAACAGAAAGATTTTGGATTGCTGTCCTAGTTACGGTTTCAGTGGGACGAACAAAAGCTCTACACTCCATGGCAGGGAGCAAAAGGAGCAAATGGAAAAAAATAAATAAATAGGATCAAAGCTTTTGTACTTGGACAACTGCAGTAAAACTCCTAATTCTACACTTGACACAACCCTAAAATGGTCTGATTTCTAGAGATGAAAACTCACTGATGAAACAGGGCAACCTGTCTCTAAAATTCCAGCTGTGTACATGCTTTTGTATAAATACAAAAATATGATTTTAGGCAGCTGCATTCAAAATGTTTGGCCGTAAGCATTTTCACCACAATGAAAAAAAAACTCTGGACGAACAACTGTGCTGAACTGTTTTTGCAGCAGGAAGGTGACAAAGAATTGTGTCACCAGCTCACTCCAAACAACCCAGGTTTGCTGCCGGTGAGGCAGGTCAGTCCCCTCGGCTCCCGGGCAGAACATGCTAATCCTAATGCCACCAACTGAGCACCAGCTTCCACACCACTGTGGTTTCACAGCTGGCCCTACCAGCATGTGCCCGGAGCAAGCCCATACTTGCACGGACGTAAACGTGTTGTAATCACCCACAAATAACCATCGTCGATTTAATTAGCCTCGTGCCCATCTTCCTATCCGCAAGAGGTGTGCTGCAGGCTGACTAAGCTCTCCTACCTGTGTGCAGACTCGGGATCCTGCCCAGGCACACCAGAGTTCACGATCATTTCCAAATACCACACTGCTGCTTGAAATGACTGAAATTACGAGTCGGTTTACAGCAGTGCAGCTAAATTAGCGATCCCATTTTCTCACTTCGTAAGAGCACTTAATGTGCGAGTAGTTAAATGTGAGTCTTTCATACCGTCATTAACTTGTGTGCGTGAGTCAGTGCGTTGGTCACAGTTTCTCCAGGATGATTATTCACACTTATTAGAGCAATGCCTCACAGCACAGCCAAACATCTGAGACATCCAGCTTATCTTATGCACTTTGCGTGGCATGAAGGGGCACAGCCCTCGTCGCTGATCCTCCACGGATTCTCTACCGTTTCTTAAAACTTGCTTTGCAAAGCCTTTCTGTTCACACCTAACTTTAGTTAGTGCAGGATGGTGATATCTCAAGGATCACGGTTACAGAACAGAAAACATTAAATTCATGCATCCAGAAAGTATTGATTAAATAAACACCGGGCAGGAAATGCAACACTGGGCCCTTAATATTAATATGATATATAGGTATGCCTGATACACTTGGACAGCAGGATGCTATTTTGGATTTTTTTAGTGTGGCGGCTTATTTATCACTTTTATAAACGATCCTGTTAGCTTCACCGTGTTCTGTGCCTTTTGTTTCACTTACAGCCTACATAAATCCTCGTAAAAAGGCATCTCAGCGCCGACCCCGGCTGAGCACCACGCTCCTTGAGGTGCTGAGGCGCGGTGTCAGGATGTCGCTACCAGGACAAACTTTGCTCCCGCCCTACAGCTCGTCCCAGAAAGAGACCGAGGCTCCGCACCCGGGCACCCCCGGCGGCTGCCCCCCGTACCTGGACGAGACCCCGGCGGTGCAGGGCGGTGTGGGCGCAGCCCGGCACCTCCGCCGGCAGCCGCAGCGAGCCGTTGCCGTTGCCCAGCCGCCAGCTGCCCCTCAGGCTGCGCACCTCGGGGCCGCCCCATGTCGCCGCCACCGCCAACAGCAGCGAGAAGATGGCGGCGCCGCCCATGGCCGCTGAGGGTGGCGGTGGGGGAACGGGGACGGAGCGCGGCCGCCCGGCCACGTCGGCGCCAAGCCCGGGGCGGCGCCTCGGGCTCCTCCCGCCGGCCGTTAACGGGGCTGAGGGGAGGGAAGATGGCGCTGAGGTGGAGAGGTTGAGGGCTCTGCCCCTGCCGCCCTGACAGCGGGAGATGGGGCAGAGGGTTTGAGGCGGCCCCCGGTGCTGCCTCTTTTAACTCTGCCCTTTTTAACAGAAGGCTGGTGAAGGAGCGCGCTGGGTGCTGACAGAGAAGCGCCAGGGCGGTAGCTGTGGGTTTTGTTTATAAAAGCCGAGCACAGTCATCCACAGCGGAGCAAAAGGGCAAGCTCCGCGGAAACAAGGCGGATACCCTCCTCAAACCGCACCACAGGCTTCCTGCGGGCCCTCGCTACCTCAGGCCCTTCCGTCACAGCCCAAAAACATAAATTAAAGCGTGAGTGGAGGGAGTAAAAAGCACACAGTGCCACCACTTCTCACTGCATTTCACCACCAGGACCTTGAGGTGCCATGTACCACCAGAAGTGTGCACTTTGCTGAGTTCTTCCCCCAGCTGAAGCTGTACTAAAAGCAGCTGTGCAGTCCCCTGTATCTCGTGTTTACAGATACAGAAAAGTGAGCCCCTGCAATTGCCAGAATCACCAACCCCAGTGCTATCTGCTAGAAATAATGTCGTGACACCACAAAACAACAGAGTATCTATGAACCTTCATTATTAATTTCCCCCTAGGCCTGTTTAGCTGCGAGCGGGCTAGAAAGCAGTTTTCCTTTTCTTTGGATGCAAATGATTTTATTCCCCTCACGCAGCTCAACACGAAATTTAAAGTGCTTCTTTCAGCCACTGCTCCACAGCCTTAGATTAATACTTGTGGTATTTTGGGTGTTTGTTATTGTTGTTTCTTAAAGCACAGCTGATTAAATGAAACTTCCAGAAATCTACTGCGTGAATAAGCCCAACACAGCCTGTGCATTTTTCATTTATACAATTTTTACTCCACTTCTGAGCAACATCAGAATCTAAGGCAGGTAGGTTACTTGTCTCACAATACACTCAAATGAGAAGGTGAAATGTGCTTAAAAACAGAAAATCATGCAAAATGCTCTGAAATCATAACATTACCATTAGGATCATAGCTTCCTGCTACTCTATGATTTTTTTCCCTCTTTAAAACAAAATAGTCAGGTCACTGTGCATCCAAAGCAAGCAAAACTACTAAACGTAGTTTATCACACGTAATTTATCATACATGTGATTCTGCACAGAAATGCAACCAACTAATATCATTCCAAAGAACCTCAACTAACTGTGGGGCTTTATCTCTATTCTGTTTTTCCATTTCTGGCCTTATGTTTCCTTATTGTCTGTAATTATGGACTGTAAAATTAGAGGAAGGAATACGTAAAGCACCTTGGGATGCCTGAGTTAATTACTTCAGCAACGTATATACACTTCATATTCCAAGTCACATAAGAATGAAGTATGAGTGACGCATGAAAACATGCTGCTGCTCCTGGCACGCAGCATGGAGCATAAGAGTGAACTACAGACAAGAATAGGAATAACGAGGGTTTTGTTGGTTTGTTCATTTGTTTTAGCTGCTGGCTTTCACACAACTAATTTAGCACACCTTAAGAATCCACCCTAGATACACCCTTAGAAGATTTAGAACATCCTCTTGGGCTGACAATCCTTCATTTCAATTTAAGAGAAAAATGCCAGCCCTTCCATACATCTCTTGTATAAAATATACAATATAACCATGGGTGATTTTTTTTCAGAGCACAGTTCTAATAAATACTGGTCCAAGAAACAGCACCTGATTCTCATTTTATCACTCTGAAACCCCTGATTGAGTTACCTCAGCTGGCTTCACACGTTGTAGAATTCAGTCAAAATAAATAACTGTCTTCTCACCTTTAAAAGTTCAGACTATAAATCCATTATACACTAACAGTACAAAGTCTTGTTCTGTTTCTGCTCTCATCTGTCAATGAGTAATGCAAATCAGCTTTTGGGACTGTCACAAAATTCAGTGTATTTTCTTTAAACTCACTCATACAACACTAAAAGCATTTAAAGACTGTGGTGCTGCCTGAGAGATCTTCTGGGATGTTATTTCTCAAGAAGCAGATTTATAGAGGATTAAGTTTTAATGCTACTGAAGAACAACTGCAAGCTGCCTTTTTTCCTTGTCCCCCCCCCCTTTTTTTAAAAAAAACTTTTTCAGCAAGTCATGTGATAGCTTCCCAGTAAGAAGGAAACTGCATTTCAAGATGTTTACTGTACTTCCGTGTTTTCTTTGCCTTTTATTTTTCTGCCGAAGACTGACTGAGGCAGCACACAAAAAACACTAAAAACAATGCTGTAATTAAGTATTCTGAGAACATGCTGTTTCCTTGTTCAAGGCTTATAATCAAGTTAAATCATGTCTCATTTTCATGTCTCAGTTATAGGGTTTGTTTTTTTGTTTATTTGTTTGAGGGTATTTTTAAGCAAATGACATTTTTACCGTTTAAAGATACTACATTCTGAAAGGCTGTGTTAAACTTTTAAGACACACAGCAAGATCTTTTGTGCAGCTTTCTTGTGTTGTGTACCATATTCCATCTTTCTGAAATGCCACAAATTTAGGAGGTTACTATGACTCTTACAAGACTGCAAGCAGATATTCTTTATCAACTAAGACAAAAAGCTGCACGTAAAACCATGCCTTTGGCTATATTAGAATAAATTCAGAGTAGTTCCATTGAAGCTGCTCAAATTCTGCCGTGTTAATCCAAAAGTCCTTTGTTGCCAATTGCTATGCAATCTCTATCATCATGACAGGCTGTAGATGCTTTCTCTTTCAAATTCAAGTTCAGTGAGTTCATACAAAGGTTTTAAACAAACAGGTTCTCACAGATTTGGCTGCGGTACTTTAAGATCTTACTGCCCCCACCTGTCCACCCTGTATCATTCTTCTGCTAAAGGTTGCCACCTCTGAAGCAAAATAGGACTTGTGTTCACACCAGTCCGTGCTGGAGCTTGGTCTTTTGTACGCCACTGCAGATACCACCACCAGCAGCAGTTTGTCAAAGCAGCATGACAACTGAAGGGTCACCTACTCTGGGGAGTTCTGCATTGATGCAGCAACACTGACGTGTTGAGGGATTTTTGAAACAGCAAAGATCCCATGGCTTGCTACAACTGAGCAAACCAAGCTACCAGGACGACTAGAAGAAGTCCCCATGACAGTGTTCCCACATCACCCAATTGAGGAATTTAGAGAAATATTGTTGCCAGCAGCTGGCTTCAAGGACAAGGTCTACATGACTGCTAATCACAAGGTTTTTTTTTTCTTGCAGGTAGGGTCGTTTTCTTGTAGTTGTTTGTCTGAGTGCTTTTGACCAATAATGTGTGAGACACTATCCACCCCTGTTAAGTTCACTATAAAAGTCAGGCTATTCGGGTAATAAAATGGAGCATGATCTGACCATACTGGTGTCTGTCACGCTTTCGGCCATTCTTCCTGCAACACTGACGCAGATGTGTTAAATAAATACTGGTGTAAAAACAGGACTGGTGTTTGGACCATCATATATCCCTTCTGACAGTATAGCACATCTGCATGAAAGCTTACGTACAGCTCCTCAACATAAAGCACATCCTCTGCTTCATCACTGCCTCTACAAAACAAAACTGCTATGCAAACTAGTTACTTTCTCAGCGGGCGTAAAGGAAATATAGTGCAGGGAGCCTTACGGCTATAGATTTGTAAAGGATGGACAGAAAGAACAGATTTCAAGCATTATTTTATGTTTATCTTGAATTCCGTCCCAAAAGGGTGCTAAAAATAAAATGAGGAAATAAATTAACATTGCTTTTAGATGAGGACACTGTTAATACATCACAAGAAGAGAACGTTGTACTGGGTTATCATGAGAAAAATACAAAATGCCAACTTAAGTGGCAAGCCTTAAGCTTCTTTTATAATTATTTTAAAATCTGTAAGTCACTGCAAGGGTATTTCCTCAGCAAACAAAATTACTCAGCCCTAATAATCATGTGCAATTCAAGGTAAGTATGTGGAAGCGAAGCTACTGCTCTGGGCAAATGCTATATGGAGGGGAAACAGAAAAAAAAAGAAAGGCAATAAGAATTTTAAAATTGCATATGCAGAAAGGCAGCCAATACCTTGACTATGCCCTTAAATTTGATCAGGTATGCCAGGGAAAAAGCTGTATTTCTACCTCTACGTAGCATCTTGCTTTGAGATGGGATCAAACCAAAGGACTTGGGTTTCACAGTACCACCTTCCAGGGCACGGACACAAAAGGCGTAAGGATCTTAAAAGCCAGCATTATCAGGTTTCTAACGACAGCCGCCTTAGAAGATGGATTTCTCCCAGCTTTTATTCTCTTTGGTTTATGAACAATGTTGAGACAATCAATCTGTTTATAAGATTATGTAACACTGACCAATGTCATTCACCCCGTCTCATGAGCAGAAAGTTACCGTCTGAAGACTAGGCATGGTGCTGTCCAAGCTACCTGTGAACTCTCATTAAAACTTAAAAGTTAGCTGGAAACGCAACTGATTCTCTGGCATTTAGAGGAAAGCAGCAGTACATTTGGGGACAACAGTATGAAACAGCTTGCTTGGCCTCTCTCAGAGGTCTGAAACTAGTCACCTGTAACCACACTACAACATATGACTCGTCCCTAAACACCTGCAATTAAATCCCTCAAAATGTCGGTGTCAGAGGTAGCACACTGTTTCTCCCGTGACGGAAGTTTGAGAGGCTTCAGAGTGTTACTGATGTGGTGTGCTTCGCCTGGCACCTCGCCAGCTGAGCGCAGGACATACCAAACAGCTTACACTGAAATATGAGAGGCACATCCATCCTGCTGTTTTAATGGATGTTTTCCTTGCAGGTGAATATTATGAGGATGTCAACAAAAAATTTATAGCCGATAAACTGGATGAGTAAACTTAAATGGATTTGAAGACAGACCAGGTCAGGACCTCTGTTTCTCAAACTCAAGTGGGGGTAACACACCTGCTTCAGCAGCACCATGGA